CTGTCAGTCTTGATTTTAGCATCAGGGCATATAGACTGGAACTGCTCGGCCAAGCATTCCATCCATTTGGTTTTTCGTTGGCGGTGTTCCTTAAGCTCCATGGAGAGGCTGAGCTGCTGTTTCAAGAGTTCCTGTCTCTTTTCATTCTTTCGCTCTTGGCCTCTGCGAGACATGTCCGAACGATCTCTAAGAATAGCTTGGCCTTCACTCTCAAGTCGATCTTTCTCTTCTTTGTACATGTCTTCAGGACAAAAGAGGTCGCCGAGCTGCAGGGCCCAGAAGACAGAATAGACTTCTGGGTTCATCTTTTGCCAGACTTCGGGACGCACGGCTTCTTTGACGGCTTCGACTATAGGCTGCAGAGGAGCAAGTGTCAATGATTCGTCGAATTTCTGCTTGTATTTTACATCAGTCGTCGAACGTGAGCCAAGGGAGGCGTCGTTATTTCCCACCTGTTCATCATTTGCGGAAGCTGCTAGACCCGACTTGTCTTTCGGTTCGTCGGTCATAGAAACATCTCCCTCCTTGTCGGTAGCTTCCTGTGCAGCCTGTGAGTTCTCCTTTGTACTTTCCGCTTCCCTCTGGCCCCAAGGATAAAGCCGGTGCGAGAGGCTAGATCTGCCAATCAAGAAGGCAATGCTTGTATCCAATCCATATGAACTAATCAATTCGTTGATTGAGGGAACCAAAGCATCAAACGCCGAAGGATCAAGGTTGCTCCAGATAAAATCAAGATACTGTATGAGGATTTGGTGAGAGTCGTCTATGATGGTGGACAGGTATTTGATGTGGGCTTCGTCTTCGGGGACTTGATATATGGCTGACTGGCGATACTGTGCGAGATTAAGAAGCACACGGGCCGCGAGTTTTGAATCGGTGAGGGCCAGTATAAGCCTCTTGGAGCTCTTAACATTGTCGAAACGCTTGTCCTGACCTCGAATCAATGTGTGGCGACGTAATCGTTCTCCACCAGCCATGGACCGGACCTGAGCATCGGTAAAGTCCACAGAGTCGACAATGCCGCCCATAGATGTGATGAATTCCTTCAAGATGATTAAATCGGTTGAATTACCTCGTTGAAGCTGATCGTTGACGTATTGAAGGACAGGAATGGGATTGATGGCCGAGTAGCGCTTGAAAATTTTACCCGAGAACCTTGACAGAGCTTGAAGCCATTTGCTGGTTGTAAGCGCATGGTCGGCTTGAGTGCGACTTCGAGATTTGCCAAGAGAGTTCATCAAAGACCAGACGAGGACGTCGTAGGAAAGGTCGGTAAAATATTTGGCACATTCGACAAAGCCTTCAATCAGATTAGGGTAAGACTCAAGCTGTTCGAATGCAACCCGAAAAACGACTCCAGGAGAAGAATAACTTGTTTTGGCTAATTGCTTGGCCATCTCACTGATGTTTGTAAGCGACACACGCTTCATAGTTCCTCGTGTCTCTGCAGTAGCACGAGCAAACGCTGCACGCATGGTGGACAAGCGAGATATCTGGCCCTCAAACCATTCTGCGTAAATAGAGTATCGTGTAGTCAGTGGATATCTGCGGAGCATGTCCCAAACAGCGTTGACGACGGCTACATTCGCTTTTGTATGGCTGAGGGCCGGCACAAGGAGCCTGCGAAGAAGGTCATGCCATCGAGCATAGTTCGACTCAGACGTATCCTCACTCAGACTTTTGTTTCCAATGCTAGCCAGTTTAGAGAGAAGAGTCTCGTCCTTGCCAATGCTAACACCAGAAATGTTGAGAAAGGTGTTGCACAAAGTGAAGACGTCATCCACAGTTTGACAGACCGGAATGTTATCGGCCCATTCATCCCAGTAGAATCGGTAATTTTGGCTCTCGTTAGTATCCCATTTGTCCGGATATGGCCATCGCCAGATCTTCTTTACTGGTAGTCGGGTAAGCCGAACACTCCCCTTTGCAACGCCGCTCTGGTCTGCGGAGAAGATTTCTTTGGTTGGGCAGTCGACTTCGGTTCCTCTGTTGAAGGGTTTTGGGCGGCTATCGTTGAAGACTTTTTTCAAAGAGACATGCAATATGCGGTGAATTCGAGAAAGGACTTCTGGGAACAGCTCTGGAATCCACGGGAATTTTCCAAGAATGAAGAGCGACTCTGGAATGGCGCCGATTGTCAAAAGTTGAACAAGTAGCCTCACTTTTTGTTCCAATGGCTCCGGAAGCTTCTTGGAGTCCTCAGTAGCTTCTGCATTACCAGATGTCTTCTGCTCAGGGTCCGCTTTCTTCAGCGGCTCTCGCCTGGTAGCGCTGGTTGGCGTGGGATTATCGTCGTCGCCCTGAGGAAGAACACCCGCCATGAGTAAAGCATTCATCGGACCACCACGCGACTCCTTCTCTTCCTGCTCTATTACTTTGGTTTGCTCTTCGCGGACATGCTCCATGTTTTCGTCAGAGGGTGAGAGATGAGGGTAGATGTCGGTGAGTGAGATGAAGCCGACTTTGATAAGAAGCGCAGCCAAATAGAGCAGATTGGCAGGAAGCACATCGAGTTTATCTCGAAGCTCACTGTTGTAGAAGAGCAATTTGAATCCCAAGAGCTGCGCAGCAACCCTATTGCCTGGGGGTGGGAGAGTCTTTGTCTCTTCTATCCACTGGCGCTCGATGTCGGTAGTTGATTCGCTGCTGTTGCCGTTGGTGAGCTTTGGTCGGCTGGAAGCCAAGTTTGATGGCTCCCTGCCACCCAGTTCAAAAAATGCTGCCAAGTGGACTTCGCGTGCTCGGGCCCAGAAGGCAGTATCTCGAGCCAGTCTCTGTTGTGCATTGAGTTCCTCGTCTTCCTCAGTAGTGTTCCAGTAGAGATAATCCGGCTGAGCCCAGGTTGGTAGGCCACCCGTATAGACCGAGGAGCCAAGTGTGAGATGCGAGCGCGGCCACCAAGAGCTGATGCGCAGAAATTTGACGAAGAATTTGAATTGCTTGATCAGAACGGCGGCAGCGACGTCAAGAGTGACGTCAAGCACTCGCCCAACGTCCAAGTCAAAGGTTCCGATCAGAGCCTTTACCCTCTCAAAGGTTTGTTCTGCGAGTTCCGGAGCGGGTGACGGTATACTGCTCGTTGTGAAGAGCTCAGTGACAAGCTTCGAGTAGCCCTCTGTCTCTTCGCGTAAGAGGTTATAGTTTGCTTGCCGGTAGAGCAGGTTTGTCGCCTGCCTTACACCAAGCCTGGCAAACGTGTCCCGAATAAGTCCAAGCTGCTGAAGCAAAGGCGCATCGAGCACTTGCCGCATAAGCGTAGGAGACACCTCGGTGGCAACGAGAAAGTCGCGAAGAGAAGGGCGATATATATCAGGCTCATTATCCATAACAATGGCCAGCGAGTCGAGAAGTAGCGTATGGGGGGCGACGTAGGAATCCTTATTTACCTCTGTCGCTTCATCTCCCAAGATCTCCTTGACACATTTTCCAGCATCAGTTGCATCCAGTCTGCCCTCAACAACGGCGTGAATGAATTCCTGGAACAAGCTAGACAGTTCTGTGATGTCAACGTCTTCCCGTGATTGCACACCGTGTTGTACGATTTCCTCTCGTCCGCGCTCTGCCCATGATCGGATCTTTTCCTCTGTGAGATTATCATAGCGATAATTTGATCCAGTTGGCGTGCCGTTTTCCGATACAGGCTCGGCAGGGTTATTGGTCGGCGGGAGCGGAGCAGGAGAAGGCTTCGCAAAGGTAGGTGGCGGCGGTGGTTGCTTTGATACAGGAGGGCTCGATGCTTTTGGAGCTGCTGGAGACTGTTGCAGCGTCTGCTGAGAGGAAGAGGTGCTGGGCCTTCGCGCAGCTTGAGGCTGGTTCTGAGGGTTCTGCTGATTTGGACTCTGCTGGTTCTGCTGGTTCTGCTGTTGCTGTTGATAGTTACCGCGTATGTTGTGGCCACGCGACGAGTCTCGTCGACCAGCGTTTTGATGTCTGCCTCGGCCTCGGCCCCGGCCTTGGCCCTGGCCCTGGCCCTGGTTCATGTGGTTCATGCTGATGTCTCGTTCGTGATGCGCGATTTCCGAGTCGCCTGGATTGTGTGGTGATGGTCTGCCTCCGTCGCCTGGTGGTCGTTCGAATCGCTTTCGCTTCGGGGGCATGACGCTCGAAGATGCAGCGAGGAATCGGCGCGTGTTATACCATCAGCGGCAGACTTCCTAGACCATCCGCGGATAGATCTAGTTGGCTTCTGAGGGAGAAACAACAGAGTGACGGCGCGGTGAGATGTGCGTGATCGGAAATGGCCGGTCTCTGCGTTGCAGCTAATCCTGTGGTGAAATGCTGGTGAAAAAAATAGTGATGAGCTTAGCAAACTAAGGAAAATGAGCCAAAAAAGATGCCTAGGCAGCTGCCAGAATGGCTGGACACTAATTCGACCAGTGAAAATGGCGCTGGTTCGGCTTTCCGCAGCTATAATTGATGCCTTTGCAAGGCTACGTCCCGAGACAGGATTTTGGAGTTGAAAAGCGGCTGCGCTATCCAAATCAGGTTTGAAGAAGCCTCGCGTGAAGTCGTGAAGATGCGCTCCAAGCAGGCGCGCACGGACCATTCGCAGCCTTGCGACTAAGGTAGCAGACATCAGAGGTACAAAGCACGGGTGGCATTGTGAGCAGCTGCGCGCTGAGCAGCGTCACGTGGCAAGTCACTAGCATGACTGTTTGAGATTACTAAGCCAAAAAGAAAATGCTATAGGCCTGCGATTTGCCCCAATTGTGGCTTACCCCGGCCAAAAGGTCATATCTGGATTGCGCCATGCTTGCTATTTGCATTTTCCACCTCCACAAATACCTGCACTTGGCACAAAACTTATACATCTTCCTTCATTTCAGTAATCGTTTTCTTTTACCCCTCTCATACTTCAAGGCGTCCTACACGCAGTTCGATTGTTTCTCAGCATTGTTTGGCTTTGAGTTGGCGCTGCGTCTTGGTTGTCTCAAAGTACTAGCAAGCCTCTTCTCCGTTCTCGGAGGTCGAGTCATTGACTACACCTTGCAGTCGGCAAGATGAGTGAGCAAAACGGTATCAATGGTGATGCCAAAATGATATACGGTCAGTACAATCTATAATTTTTTTTATTCAAATTCCATCCCAACTGCGGCTCTTTTTGGCATCTTCACCCTGTGTGAGCATCGGTCAAGTGGCTCAATGCGCCGCAGACTGGCTTGATATGTCCCTCTACGTGAGATTGCGAGGAGAATAGTGGCTGAATACCTGCAAGAAAGAACCCAGTCGCAACCTGAGAACCCCTTTGCGGCTCTCATCCCGGACCAGCAAATAGCCATTGTGCCGGAGTTCACTCTCGAGTCTGGTGTTACGCTCTATAATGTCCCTGTGGCCTACACTACCCGGGGCAAGCTGTCGGCCTCTGGCGACAACGCCATGGTGATATGCCATGCCCTAACCGGCAGCGCTGATGTGAGCGACTGGTGGGGTCCTCTGCTTGGTGGTCCGGGTAGGGCTTTCGATACATCAAGATTCTTCATCGTATGTATGAACAGCCTGGGCAGCCCGTACGGCTCAGCAAGCCCCGTGACGGCCAAGGATGGCGATGCCAAAAATGGCTATTATGGACCCGAGTTTCCTCTCACGACTATCCGAGATGACGTGAAGTAAGACGCCCCTCTGTGGTTCCCTTGCTGCCGGCCTGGCACTGAAGACATGACTAACAAAATGCCAATCAGTCTACACAAACTCATCTTGGATGACCTAGGAGTGAAGCAAGTGGCTGCTGTAATCGGCGGTTCCCTCGGGGGCATGTTTGTTTTGGAGTGGGCGTACTTTGGCAAGGACTATGTTCGCTGCGTGGTGCCGATTGCCACGTCCAGCCGGCACAGCGCATGGGGCATTAGCTGGGGCGAGGCTCAACGCCAGAGCATCTATGCCGACCCAAAGTATGACGACGGATACTATCCGTTTGATGATCCGCCTGTGACTGGGCTCGGTGCGGCTCGCATGTCTGCGCTGCTCACTTACCGCAGTCGCAACTCGTTCGAATCACGGTTTGGCCGCAACATTCCCGACCCTTCCAAGATTCAGTCCATCCGAGAGCGGCCCAGCCCCAGCACACCGTCGGAAGCGCACTTTCACATCCATAATGATGGCCACAATGTGAAGCGAGCGTCAGTCTCGCGCAAGAATAGCCAGGCTGGGTCCGGAACCAGTAGTCCGGGACCACGATCGGCAGAAAACGCTGACCCGCAGTTCCATGGCCCCGGGAATGACCGCGATCAAGGAGAAAGCTTGACTGGAGGGGATAAACTACCTACGTCGACATACTTTTCGGCACAGTCCTATCTGCGCTATCAGGGAAAGAAATTCGTCAAGCGCTTCGACAGCAACTGCTACATTGCCATGACGCGAAAACTCGATACTCATGATGTATCTAGGGACCGCGCATCGTCGATCGCTGAGGCCCTTGCACTAATCGAACAGCCCCTGCTCGTGCTTGGCATTGAAAGCGACGGACTATTTACCTTTGCCGAACAGGAGGAGATTGCTCAGTACGTCAAGAATGCGCGGCTGGAGCGTATCGACAGCTCCGAGGGACACGACGCTTTTCTCCTGCAGTTTGAGCAGGTCAACCGCTACGTGCTGGGCTTTTTGAAGGAGATTCTACCCGACATCATGTCGGTCGAGGGTGGCGCCCAGGAAGAAGAGGGCGTGGGGCAGCTGACAAAATCGAGCACGTTTGGCGAAGCTGAGGTGGATGACATTACTGCGTGGTAGCCCTGGACGGTAGTATGCAGCGTAAGGAACTACTATTTTGGATTAATCTATGGCGCCTGGTCTCACCGTCCCATGCCTTGTACACAGTTCTCAGTATAGACGTTGGCTCACACAAAGGGATGGACGTGAAGAAAAACTGGCTAGAGATGGCATTCTATATTTGCTCAGACTTGGAGCCACAATCTGCATATAACGTAGCCACATGTGGAAAAGTTTGGCGGTCGAGATTTCAGGGTTGGTACTGTAGGATTCGCAACAAAGTAAGGGGGACAAGTGAGCTATTGGATGGATATCTGTCTATCGGTTACTGATTAAGCTGTTTTATACAAGCGACTCAGTTACCGCTCAGTCGGCTAAGCTCCGATAGAGCAATACGAAGCAGGCCCACGGCATGTACTCGGTATCGCCAGGTATGTTTTTGTACTACTTGTAGTGATAACCATGGCACAGGTGCTGGGATCTGGATCCTGTGCTGCCGGCGTACTCCCTTTTATCCGACGATACCCAGTTGCAGCTGCTACGGCTTGTCATTGTATTGAATAGGTACGGCGATCACGAAGTAACGCATGCAATAGTATTATCTACACGATGAGTAGTAGTAGGTATAATTAGGCTCGCAATGTTATGCCGGAGTAAAAAGGTCAAACAAGGAGACAGGACCCTTTGGACGCTTTTAGTACGACTTGCGGCCTGGCTTGTAAAACGCGCGAGAGCCGTTCGCATCAGTCTAGAACGATCTCTAAGCCGAGCTGCTCTGCCAATCAGCGTCGCCGGCGATGATGCAAGCCGTTTTGCCATTTCTATTTCTCCTCTCTCCAGCTCAGCTTACAGAACACAGTAGGCAAGTAGGGTAAGGCGTATGAAGGCGTCAAAGCTTCAATGTTGCCAATTTTGCTTCTTGCGGGCACCTGAGAAATTACCTATAGACGGGGGACCATGTCCGGTCAGCGAGCAGAATTCCACTGCATGGCCAGGGCTGGCCCCGAACGGCCGGACAGCTGGAAACCAATGCCCAGTGCAGCGAGCGGCCTGAAAAAGATCTGGGACTGGGAGCCCCCCTGATGCAATGCAGGTTTCCGATGCTCTATCAAGGTGCTGACGGGCCATGCGACCCAGCGACGAGACCGGCCGGAACCCCAGATCAGAATGCAGCTCCGAAATGCAGTGCTTGTACGTTTGAGGTAGGACGATTACGCTGTGCGATGGCCGTACAGACGGCAATCTGGCTTTGGTAGCTCGAATCGCGATTCACCACCCCACGCAGCCTCTCGCTTCGAAGAGGGGGGTGTACCGGCTCCTGTTATTGTCGTGTCAATCCTTTTAGGCAGTGCGCGAAGCACGATGATGGCCGTCACAGTTTGCTTTTCCCACGTGGGGTGCAACGTGCGATTTAGCGAGCGAACTGGCTTTTCTTCCCGCGTTGCTGTTGAAGATGAGGAGCTGAATGAGCACAGACTGCTGCGAGAAGTTCCACAGGGCCTACAGCGGGCGTAGGGCGTGGCTAGCAAGGGGGGCGATCCTTGTAGAGCCAGGCGTCAGATGTAGAGTAGTAAGTAGTAGACTACTAGCAGCACTTGTAATAGAGCGAGAGGAGATGCATGAACCCTTTAGGCAATATTCCGCATTAGTCCGCGTTGAGTCAACACCATGAAAGATGCTGCTTGATCGGGCTAAGGAGCTGTACAGTATGCTGGTTATCGGGTTTTTTACTGCGAAGTAGTACCTGCGGCAGACAGTCGCTACGGCAGTCGGTGGTACATCGAGTACAGAGGTACTTAGGTACGAAACACATTGATTGCCAGTGGAGTACGGGGTAGTGATAACATCATGCTCCAGTGCCGTATCCCAAACGCTGCGGTGGATTTGGGTTTCTATAGTATTGACAGTATGGGGAATGGGGAAAGGGTTGAGTAATGCTACTCGTACGAGTAGCGAAGCCGACTCTTCGCATTATTATCGCATTCATGTTGCCACTCCACTTGACGTGTTGCCTGCTCCCTCCCAGGCGTGCGCGAGTCAATAGTGGCGTGTTTGACACCGAAGCTCCGCGGTGATGCGACGGGAATACAGTGGGAAAACAGGCATAGAAAGAAGCCTGCTAGAAACATGGAAAGGAAAGATAAAAAAAACTGGGCTTGCCACGCCGCTTTCAGCTCTTCTGCCGAAAAGCGTGGGTGCGCTGCAGACTTTAGTAATACCGTGCAGCAGCGTCAATCGGTAGCAGCGCTACTGTGCACTGGAAAAGCTCCGTTGCAACTGGTAAGGCACCGAGGGCGGTCGCCTAGTGCCTGTCAGCGACCCGCCCCTCCTGCTCGGGGTCTCGGAGTCGCTGCTGCAATCGGCTCTTCAGGCACGAGCGTTCTGGAAAGGCTTCAGAACGATGGGCAGCCTTCAGGGCACTGACTCGACGCCGCTGCAGAATCCACAGGGGCGTAGCGCTAGGCGGCGTAGGGCAGTTGGCCTGAGCGTCCTCCAGCAGCAACTGGTTCGGCAGAAAGTCGCTGCGCGCGGGCATTGGCTGAGGCCTGGCAAAGGGCGCGGCGCCAGCACGTGCAGTAGTCTAAGCCGATCCACAGCCCTTGGCGCCATGGAAGCATCGCCAATGTGTGTTTCGAGCACTCGGGGCCCGTAGCCGGGGTGGTGCGGAAGCTGTGCTAAGGATTTGATTGATGAGTGATGGCTTTGCAAAAAGAGGGGGTTGCTGGTACGGCCCAGTGAGTGTTGCTACTGGTACCAGTCTGGCGTTGCGCTGCTGCTGACTTGGCTGACCTTGGATCCAGGACTCGGCTTCTTTCATTCACTCGCTCTCCATCTCCCTGCTTTACTCCTACGTAACGCTGTTGGCCCCCCCTTGCACAATCGTGCGAGGCGAAGAAGAAGAAAAGAAAATTCTCAGCTGTCGAACCTTGGCAGCAGCATAAAGCCTCGCCTGGGGCTGGTGGCGGTTCGTGGCTCCATCCATCCACTCGGCCGCATGTACGAAGGTCCCATCCATCCATCCAGAACAAAAGACCAGGCCGTCCCTCTTTTCGACGTGTGTTTTGCCTCGTCTCACCCTCCCGAATCCTCATCCCGCGCCTCCGTCTACTGGCTAGGCGGTTCTTATTTCGGTGACTAGCGCCCTGGTTGGATCTGCTAGCACCTGCTTTTCCTTTCACCTTGGCATCCTCCAAAATCTCTGTGCCATCCAGTGTCATACTTGTACACGGCATCGCCCTGATCCAGCAGCCTGCGAAGCTTGTCCATCCTCTCAGCCTCATGCCAAACTGCCCCGATATAGCGCAGGTCGTACAGCCTTGAACACCGACGCATCTACGATACCACCTGCCAGGATCCTTCTCGCTCTGCTCCCGTTCGCCATATCTCACTGGACGCCGGATCGCAAATTGCATCAAGCGGTTGCCTGCCTTGAGCCATACACGACGACAAGAGGCCACCAGCAACATCGAAAATTACTGAAATTGAAATTGATACCGAAAACGAAACCGACGTCGCAGTTCTGCTGTTAAACTCGCAAAGCTATCCTCGCCAAATTTCCTCTTTTTGATTCGGCAAAGTCACCCATGTATTCCCGGTAGCGACAAACAGGGCTCGTCCTTGACATCAAACATCGTCCATCTTTCATCGTCCATCTACAATGGCGGCTCCTTTCGATGGCGAGATGCTGCCGCCGCCGGCAGCATCAATGCGTGGCCGCGACCACACATACGGCGGCAACAATGCTTTTCACAACTTTTACAACGACTATTCGCACATTACCGACTCCAACCTACGACGGCGGCTGGCCTTGTCCGAGATTGACAAGGTACCTTTTGGATTTTATCGTACGTTTCAGCTCTCCAACGCACCCCCGACTGGCTAGATGATGGAAGTTGTGAGCCAGGTTTGTCTGACTGTGGATATCTAGATGTTCGAGCCGTACTGGTCGCTGGAGCTGGATTTTTTATCGATTCCTACGACATCTTCGCCATCAACCTCATTGTCAGTCTTCTCGGATTAGTCTTTTACAGCGGCGACACCTCTGTCAACGGCTACGGAGGCAATGGCGGCATTCTCCCCGACTCTATCAACCAGGCCCTCAAGGCCTCCACCAGCGGAGGCATTGTGTTGGGAATGTTCTTCTTTGGCTGGCTTGCCGAGTAAGTGGCAACTCAAAACCGCTTGCATCAAGCTTGGAAGAGCGGCTCGTGCTGACAGTGATTTGCGGCTTAGTGCATTTGGCCGACGTCGTATGTACGGCATCGAGCTCATTATCATCACCATTGGTACATTTGGCTGCGCGCTTGCGTCTCCGAGTCCCACGATTAGTGCCGCCGGCTTATTGATCTTCTGGCGCGTCATGATGGTATGGAAGCGAACCCCCTTCTCTCTACCCTTCTACCCCAGTCTTTCGTGGGATGACAGCGACTAACGCGGCTCCAGGGAGTCGGTATTGGTGGCGATTATCCACTTTCCAGCGTCATCACTTCAGAGTACGGGCATTATCCGAAAGTCTTGCGTCTGTCGGCATAATCACTAACTTGCGTCTAGGTTTGCGCCGACACGCTGGCGTGGGGCCATGATGGCTGCTGTTTTCTCTATGCAGGGCCTGGGTCAGCTTTTAGCCGCAATCGTTGCGCTTATCACGACCGTGGCGTTCAAGAAGTCGTATCTCGACATGACTGCAGAAGGCGCCTGCGATCTATCGTGCAGGGAGGCCGCTGATCGATCGTGGCGAATCATCGTTGGCGTTGGTGCCATCCCTGCATGCATGGCCCTGTACTATCGTATCACCATCCCTGAGACACCTCGCTACACCTTCGATATACAAAACGACGTGGAAAAGGCCGATGCCGACATCCGCGCATACGTGTCGAGCAGGCGACGGAGCGACCAAGGCTCCATGACCATGAAACGATCCCGTACGGCAACCGTTACCGAGCAGTCGCCGCTCGATGTGCCCCCAGCCTCGTGGCCCGATATTGTGAGCTACTTCAGCAAGATCAAGAACCTGAAAATCCTAGTTGGTACAACCGCGTCATGGTTCTTTCTGGTGCGTCTCCACACACACACACATATCGCTGTCTTGGCCTCCCTCTTTCTGTTGCCTACATTGCTTACTCTTGACAATAGGATCTTGCATATTATGGCCTGGGATTAAACCAATCCATGGTTCTTAATGCCATTGGATATGCTAATGGACGCACATTGTACCATAAACTATATAACCAAGCCGTGGGGATGATTATACTTGCCTGTGCCGGGTCTATCCCAGGATACTGGGCCGCCGTCTTCACAATCGATAGCGTCGGTCGGAAGCCTCTTCAGTTTATTGGCTTTCTTCTCCTCACCGTCATCTTCTGTATTCTTGGCTTTGCCTTCCACAGCTTGACTGAAGGAGCAATGCTTGCTCTTTACATTATTGCCCAGTTTCTATTCAACTTTGGCCCCAACACAACCACCTTTATTATCCCTGGAGAATGTTATCCTACGCGGTACAGATCTACTGGCCATGGTGTCTCTGCCGCCAGTGGCAAGATTGGCGCCATCATCGCCCAGGTTATTAGTATCCCGATACTGAACCAAGACTCCCCTCCCAATTGCCAAGGCATGCAGTGCTCGCCGCACTTGAACCGCCTTTTACAGCTTTTTGCTCTTTTCATGCTTCTGGGTACGATAGTTACGCTATTGGTCCCGGAGACCAAGGGACTGACCCTAGAAGAACTATCGGGCGAAGCGCGTACCAGCTATAATGCTGGATGTAACGGCAGCATTAATATCACATCACCTCGACTACGCCCCTGGAATCCCTTCAAGGGCGGACGGCCCGCCGGATTCTTCTACCCGCGGGCACATGGCAGCTCATTTGCAAATGGTCGACGATCTCCTCGAGCTGGCATTATGGAATCACCAGAGATATTCGCCCAGCACGATGAAACTAGGCAGAGGACACGATTTTGGCAAAGAAGAAACCGAAAGTCTCAGGCTCGGAGCGACAGAACTGACGAGATTGCTTTGAGCCAACACCCAGGCAGCTTCCATGAAAACGCTGGCTCAGACGAAATTACACTGACAGATGGCTTCATGATGCCTGGAGGAGCGAGCTCGTCGCGACATCGTGCACCCTATATGCAGCAAGAACTGCCAGCCTGGGGAGCCGGGTGGGGTAGAATAGATAGGGGTGGACCCCCTCCCTTGGCGACCTCAATGCAGTTGCAAGATGTTGGGTCACTTTTGAAAGACTGATAGAGTTCTTTTCTCATGTTGTTGTATCATTACTAGAAAGACGAGAGAGAGAGAGAGGTAAGGCTCTTCTCATGGGACATATACCATTCATATATATACATCTACATACACCAAAGCGATGGGCGTTTTCTTTTTACTTTACTTCCTGGATGGGACGAGGATGTACGATTTGATGAGATTTGGTTTGTTTTGTTTTGTCATACATTCTCTATTTTTTTTTTTTTTTCATGCTCTCAGAATACAGGGACAGTTTTGGTTGTCGTTGATTGGATAGGATATACCACTTGAAGAGACGTATGTAATTACACTTTGTTAGGTAATGGGTCACTAAGAGATTATGGGGAGAAAGCCTCCTGTCATTTGTCAATCATTTTGCCACGGGCGGGAAGTGGGAATAATGGCCAGATGGCTTGGCTTGGCTTCCTTGTGGGCTGGTTTTTCGCTTTCTGGCATGTTTAATAGAATTTTCTTTTTCTGGGCCTACTCCACTTGCGATGGAGTGTTTCGTGGGATAAAGCGAATTAAACCTCCTTGGGTGTTTATACTGTCTACTTTGTACATTGTGTATGTATGGGTTGCTCGTTTCAACTGCCGGGGATGCTGAGATGTATCGGCGAGTCAGGACTACTGAACCGGAGGTCTTTTTTGATAGTGAAGATAAGGAAACATTTGTACGGAAAAGACAAGACTGTGAACTTTACAAAGTAGGGCGAGTCCATTGTTCATGACTTTTGTTGATGAAGTAGGTATTCGATTCGTAGATTGGGAGGAGTATGCCTAAAAATCGTGTGCACGCTTTGATATGTAAAGACTCGTCTCTGGATGAACAATTCCTTATGTGGTAATTGATAAACAAGTCTAGTACTCCTTTGATAGCTTATGGCATGCTGATGACTGTAAACACTGGAAGATCGCCTCTGTTTTACCGGTGCGATATCGGAAAATTGAGATGCGCATTTCCTGCATGGTATAGTTGTCACGAGAGCATAATGGAGCAAGGATACCATATATTGTAGTGTAGCTACAACTACCTGGTTTTGCTAGGAAAAGGGAAAAGGGAAGAGAAAGGGAAATAGAAGCCTGTTGTATATCCCTCTACGCTTCGAAAACATTGCCACAAAAGATGAAAGCCTTTTTTTTTTTTTTTCTTAGGAAAATTACACGAGCAATGATTGATCAATCAAGGGCAATGGTTATGCTATTTGAACTGCAGCATTAGATATTTTTATCTGGTAGCGACGTTTGAGGACTGAAAGTGTTACGTGCCAGTCTTCTGATCTTAGGCGCCCTTTGAGATTTATATCTTGTTTCTTGCTTATATATGTAAGTTTATATCCTTCTCTTCTTATGCTACTTCCTGATTTAGATCTTTGTGAGTGAATTTTTGGGGTTTAGGCACTCAGTTGAACGTATCCCGACGAAAATATTGCTGCCAATGTTGCTCCTTCCCATATTCGCGATCCACGTGGTCAGGCGAGCACGCAACGCACAGCAAAATGAGAGGCTTCTTCTTTTTATTCTTCGATTTCTTTCAGTCTCTACATAATTCCACACAACAGTCATTGCAATGGAAATGTCTAATGAAGCTGACTAGGTATGTGTGGTCAGCAGTGCAAGATCAGCTGCGGCTGCCATCGATCGCCTACTCTACTCTTTCAAGTTTCACAACGAGTCAACTCCATGTAAGTGTTTGCTTCATGGTGTCAACTAGTTCTAATGAATGACTTAGAAGACGAGCGCCTACTGCATGATAGTGTAATAATACGGTACCTTGTATATGAGCCTTCGCATATCTATTTATTGAGTGTAGATGCGGATTGGGAGGCAGAGGGGCATGCTATTTACCGAGTGTTGGATAGTAGATGTTATGGCCAGGTATCTCATGTAATGCTTTACTTGTCATCCTGGAACTCCATACTATCTGGTAAGCCAATCCATCGCCACGAGTATAACGGAACTGGAGTATTGGTTAACAATCTAGGTAATGCCTTTCAAAAGGTAAGTATCCCTCACTCAGCCTACGGCTGGCAAGCTACATCGGCAGCTGGCATGCAGCTGCATATCTCTTGGCTTATCAAGGTGAAGATTGGACAGTGCATTCACTTGTTCCCCGGAAGCCTGCAAAATTCTATGCGTTTTCAGCAGACGATTCCAGCAGCTGCCAGTGAATGCAGAAGCACAAGGACCTGTCTATTGGTCACATAAAATTTCTGCCTTTCCTCTGCTTCTCTTCTTTTCCTATTCTCTCTCTTCGTGTGGAGTACTCAAGATCTGAGCAGGCGAAAACCTAGTTCTGCGTTCTTGATGACCTTCGCCTCAAAGATGGATGCCTCTTCTGATAAAGACAAGCCGAGCCAGGGACTTGGATCCCGTGCTCTTTTGGACAAGGTGGACAAGCTTCGCGAGTTGGGAATATCCCACCTCGTGCCTCTGCCTCAGGTGAGATGCCAAGAGACCATCCCCAAACGCAGCTGAGTATTTACTGACTGCGCTACAGATGGTTGTGGTTGGAGACCAGAGTGCAGGAAAATCTAGCGTTCTCGAATCTTTGACAGGATTCCAATTTCCTCGCTCCGCTACTCTGTGTACTCGACATGCCACTGAGATTATTTGCCGACGAGAGCCTACCGAGAGTGTCGTGGTATCCATCATCCCGCACAATCCATCTCCTGAGCGGGAGAAGCTTGTCAGAGAATTTCGCCGATCGACGGATAAAATCACTTCAGATGACTTTCCTAAAATCTTTGAGGACGTAAGTAGTTTTAATGCCACATCTTCCATCACCAGGAAACTTTGGAATAACTAACGTAAAGTTCTTAGGCCGCCAAAGTTATGGGCATCAGAATCTCAGATGAGGATGGCAACGGAGGCAGTGCATTCAGCCTCGACATCCTCAAGGTTGAAATCAGCTACCCCAATGCTGATCACCTTACAGTCATCGATGTCCCAGGCATGTTTGAGACAGTCACCCCCGGACTTACGACCGAATCTGATATCGACCTGGTGAAGAACATGGTGAAGCGATACATCCAAGAGACAAGAACCATCATTCTCGCCGTTGTCCCTTGCAATGGCGATATTGCCAACCAAAAAATCCTTCGGCTTGCTGCTGAAGCTGATCCTAAAGGAAAGCGAACCTTGGGAGTGCTCACCAAGCCTGATCTTGCCATTGAGAATGCCACGAAAGCCGTCGTTTGTGATCTCGTAAGGGGCAAAAGACGAGATTTGCATTTGGGATACTGTGTTGTCAAAAACCTTGGTGCTGACGACAAGTCTGGTACCATGGATACCCGCCATGCCCAGGAGCAAGCCCTATTTGGACAAGCACCGTGGAATACTCTGCCTGCTGATAGGCTGGGCGTACCGGCTCTTCGTTCTCGTATCGGGAGTCTCTTAATGGATCGCACCCGTGCAGAATTTCCCTTGGTCAAAGCTGAGATTATGGCAAATCTCAAAAAGAGTCAAGACCTCCTTTACGATATGGGCGAGTCTCGAAGTACCACTGACCAGCAGAGGGCGTATGTAGGCAAGATTGCCTCAGAATTCACGAGAATCAAGAATTACGGCTTGGATGCCTACTATACGCGACATCGCCTCTTCGAGGACGATGAGATGAGACTCATCACCCGAATCCGAGCCATCAATGAAGCTTTCGCCCATACCATGTATAGTAAAGGCCACACCAAAGAGTTTCACCAAGACGATGAAGATGGCGTAGAAAGTGGTAGCGGCTCACCTCGTGTCACTTCGTCTGAGCCAGATGAAATTGGCCGATCATCGCTGTATAACAACGAATTTTCTTTCGACATTCCACGCCTCGGCGAGGAAGATTTGGGTGACGTCCTGTCTGATCCCTACTGGTGCCCCGCCCCAGAGACGGACGACATGCTGCAACATATCCAGGGGCAGTACCTCAAATCTCGAGGATACGAGCTAGGCACTGTAAGTTCTTAAAGTCAATCGTTTCGTCCCAGTTATCTGTTCATTTCTGACATGATGCTTCAGTTTAGTAGCGAAATGCTGCCGTGCACATTTAAGGAGCAGGGAAGCAAGTGGCGATCTATTACACTTGCGCACGCCTCGAACGCGATATTGATAGTTCACCACTTCATACAACGAGTCCTGGAAAGCTCCTGTCCCGATGATGTTGTCCGCGACGGGCTTTGGAACTATCTCTTGTATGGCCATGACGGCCATGACGGCCTATTAAAGCGATATGAGCGGGCAATGGACCATGCTGAGTTTCTACTCTCTGTTGAATTCGAAGTCAAAACTCTCACTTATGATCCTCGTTTTGAAGCACAGATGGACAAGCTAAAGGAGGGCGAATTCGCCAAGTCTGCCAAGTCCACCAAAACAGCCAAAACAGCAAAAATTGATGCTGGATACGAACTTTTCGGCGAGGAGTCGTCAACAGAACCCAAGCCGTCGCCAAGGAAATCCAAGTCGTCGCTCGAAGAGACACGAGAGTCGATCCATAACGCTTTAAAATCTTACTACGATATTGCGCTGAGCCGCTTTGTTGACGTAGTTTGCCAGCAGGTGATTGATCGCTACTTGCTCCACGCAAAAGACGGACCGCTAGAAGTCCTGTCGGACAAGGTTACCCTTGGCATGTCGGCGGATCAGCTGAATTCGATTGCTGCAGAGGATCAGGCTGTGAAGGAGAAGAGAGATACGTTGAACAAGGAGATTGAGGCTCTCACCAATGCTCTCCGGATCCTCAGAAGCTAATAGAAGTAATAATATGAGGCTCGCTTGCGAAGAAATGGGAAATACTGTTGAACGGAGCGAATAAAGCACAGGGTTGATCTTGGGATACTTGGACCAGGTTACGTCTTTGTATGGATGCCACGGATTTAGATGGACTCGATAGACTTGACGCCTAGTTTACATTTTTATATTGACTGAATTAAAGGTGTGGCTGACAAGAACTCCACTGTTTAGAAAGTAATATGGAAAAAGAGACGCAGCAATAGATCAAAATCTTCTGTATACTAAATATCAACGACAAACTTGCTCGTGTATCATCATTATTACTGCTGCACGTTCTCTCCTACTTCTTCTTTCTTTCTTTCATCCATTATCTCATGTGTGCTTTTTCATCCTCCTCCCAATTAACAGCGGCATTCTCGGCACGTATCCATAGCCCCCGAGTAAAACTTGCCATTCTCACAACCCGAGTGAATGTTGGAAGCGGAGCAGAAATCCTGCACGTTGGGAGGGCATGTGAATCTGCGCTGAAGATTGTTGTCGATGTCTCTGGCTTGCGGCTGCTGTGCTGGGAAGGCCAGGGCGAGGGCGGGGAGGAGGACGAAGAGAGATGCGAACTGATTTTCAATTAGCTGTCCTGAACTATGGGATATATCGAGGATTGGTATCTTTCGTTCTTACCTTCATGATGGAGAGTTTGTGATTCAGGTACGTGCTAATGTGTGTATGTATGTGTATGCTTCGTGTAATACGGCGTACAGTATAGCGTGAAGATCGACAAAAAAGCTCTTCCTGTGCAAAAGCTCGGACACCGAAATAGTAGAAACGAAGGTAATGAGAGGGTGAATCACACGTTCTCCTGTCTTTTTTAGTAGACAGTGGGATCGGATCGACAGAAAAAGAGGCTGGGCAGCTGAACCCCTTTAAGTACCCCATGCGCCGTAGCATTTCTCTCTTTGACTGCCACCGACCAACCTATGTATGTGCATACCTAGGTAAAGAAAGATGGTACGAAACTTCCTGCTAGCATCTTCCTTCAAAGATGAGCAAAGCCTCGGAATGTCTCACAGCGCCACCAAGAAGCACCCCATCCCCCGGCCTCTCTCCTTTTGTTCCGACAAAGCTTTCAGCCGGTATAGGTATAAAACTAGCAACCCGTCCGTGTTGAACCTGGTTCTTTTCTTTTGGTGACATGGGGGGGAGGGGGAACAAACAAGTTTCAGCTGGGAAAGATCTGGACTCTCGCCTGATTTTTTTTTTCCCTTTGTTTAGCTCCTCTTTTTCTCTCATTCCTGCGGGCTTTTTACGAAGGGAGAGAGTCACGGGGAGCGAGCTGAGACCAAGAAACTACTAGTATTGCTGGTGATGCTAAGCTACGGTGAGACGCAAGGGAGACAAGGAAAAGAAAAAAGTGCTTTTGGCTAGGCTGTATTCGGTGGCGCCTCTTTTCTTTGCTTTTTCTTTCTCGGGTTTTGGGGCGTGGCTTTTTTTCTTCTTCTTCCTAAGATGTCTTGCAATTGGGTGTTTTGATTGGTTTGGGGAGTTTGATTTGATGGTGGCACGAGGAGCTTTCCGTGTAAGTGGGAGCGATGATGTTTCTAATTATAAACACCATCACCGATGGATCGGTAAATGAAGTGAAACTGGCCATTTGCCCCCCCATCAGTCATACTACGTATCGAAAAATATCAATCAAGCAGTAATACAAGGCAACAAGATGATGAAAGGAGGCAGAGTTTACGAGAAATACACACAGAGCACGTCGTGCCCACAGCCTCCAGAATGAACCTCATCTCTTACCAAAAGCAAGGCAAAAAACAGAGAGCACAAGCAGCGCACATCCTCGCAATACTGCTAGTACTAGTAGTACTACTATATATGCAGGTCTCAGTCAAATTTCTATTATTAAACCTCCCATCCATCCAAGAAAAATACTGCTATAAATATCTTTCCGCCTCTTCTTATCAAAATGAACCTCCAGCGGCGTGGCTTGGAGAGGGAGGCTCAAAAAGGCACACATGCCTGGGCACCTGAAATGACACTTCATTTCGCGTATGCAGTAGGCAAAATGGCTTCCCATCTTCTTCCGTTTTTTTCTCTCATTTATACGAGCGCGAATCACATCGACCAACAGTCAAATAAAAAGCTGCCCTTGTTTATTAGTGGCTTCTTCCGGGTGCAAACATCCGGCTGGTGCTGTCAAAGCTCCCTCCAAAGCTCTTTTAAAGCTACTAGTGCTACTATTGCCACTGATATCACGACAAATACATTCATTCCATGTGTGATTGTATCTTTGATTCATTTTGCTTAAGCTAAGACGAGGCTAAAAATCAGATCAAATCAGTGCTGCCCTCCCACTTCATTTCCCTCGTTCTCATATCAATCATTAATACGCCATCCTCAACGAGGTGAAATCCATAAAATACACAATTGCCTCCGCATACAACGTCATGAGCAGGTAGCTAAATAGCAGTCCCCAAAGGGCTCGGAGATGGCGATATCGTCGACAGGCTATAGCAAATAGCGTCTGCCTCTTGTAATATCTATTCCTGTCGCGTTGTTCACTTGCAGAATAGATACTCGGCCATTCAGGTTCAATAAAAAAGGGTAAAAAATCCAGTAAGGCTTTCAAAAGTAACAAGCCAAGCAAATCAATCAGCAGATTCTGTGTAGCTCGTCGGTACGTTGTTTTCGTATCTACTAATCTCATAATGTCATAAGTACCCATGTCGGGCAACAAAAGAGAGTAAGAATAGAAAAAGTCATCAATCCATCAATAGAAAATAAAGAAAAGATAAAAAGGAAACTATGTTCATGTAAAGGAATGGTAAGGATTGGTCAAAGATGAGACTGCAGCTCCGCTGTCTCACTTAGAGCGTGTCTTCCCAGCCTGCATCGCCAATATCGACGTCGATAGTCGATCCTAGAGCTTCTCGGCCCTGGCGAATCATGTCTTGCAGCTGTTTGTTGAACGCCGCCATGCGCGCATCGGCATTGCGCTCTTCCATCTGGCGACGGGAGGTCAATCGCCTGGCCTCGGCATCCAGTCGCGGGCTGGCATCAATCTCGGTAGCCCTGCTAGTAGCCACTGAGGCCGCACTTTCAGCGCGCTGATGACCTGGAGTCCGCCAGGCAGAGGGATCGGAAGACGACGGCACGACGGTGTGTCTGCGCCTCCGGCCGGGCTCAAAGTTTGCAAGTGGAGCTGGCGATGCCAACGTTGCTGAAGTATTCGCCTTGACAGGAATCCTGCTCTGTGCAGGCGGCTTGGGAACACTGGCTTTAAACGACGCAGCCGAAGCTGATGTTGCAGGCCGTGCAGACCTAAAGGCGTTGACATCCGACATTCGACTGCCTGGACGGCTGGCAGCGCGACTCGCGGGGCGAAGAGGAGCAGGGTCAGAGGATGCAGGAGTAGAAAAGCTGCTTGGAGGGCCCATGCGGTGATCTGCCAGGGGAGTTTGCTGAGCGTGATGGCGAGGGGATGTGCGGCTCGGCGTAGCCATCTTCCGGGGCGTCCTCAGCTCGCTATCACGGTTGGGCTCCCGGATCATAACCCAGTTCTGGCCCAGGTCATTGCCGCTATCTGTTTGTCTACGTCTCTTGGGTGCCGGCCCAGTGGGCGTGGAAGCGCGGCTGTCATATGGATCATCGTAGCCAGAACTTTGACTGTTGCTGTTGCTGCTGTAGTGATGGTGACTCCTTTTTGGGAGCTGTTGTACATGCCGCGCCCTATCTCTGCGAACAAAGTCATGGCTTTGCTGTTGCTGGTTGTGGCCTTGGAAATGAAAAGGCTGGTCTAGGCCGGGACCAGCATCTTCATCAACACTAACACCCGTAGACGTCACCTTGTATGATGCGCCGCCCCCTGCGTAAAAGCCCTTGAACGCACCAGTCTTGCAAAACTCCCATACTCGGCCAACAACTCCCCCAATGGTGGCGAAAGCAAAAGAGCCCCAGCCACTGGCATTTGCAGACTCTTCAGGCTCGGGTTGGCTAAACAGCTGCGTGGGCGGCCCGCTGGAAGAGTCTTGGTCCATCTCATCGCGCGATCGCTTGGTGCCAAGGGCCCGCCTGTAGTCGGAGTCGGAGTACATGCTGTCTCCCATGCTGTCCCCCATACTCTCGGCCATGGCCATGTCGGCATCTTCACCCACCAGCGGCGTGTGGAGTTGGCCAGCCAGCGCATAGGTTCTCGAGGGCGGTACCGCGGCATCCATATACACCTCTCCTTCGTCATAGAGGCCACCGTGGGCACCTCCCTGGTGCATCCGGGGCATGCTGCTGCGACTCCATTTCCGCTTCGAAGAGTGCTCGGTCGCAAAGGTCGAGGAGGAGAAGCTGGAGCTGGGCGACGCTGGCGGCCGGAACAGGCCGGGATGGACGCCGTCGTGTGTCGGCGCCGACATGTGGTAGTGCGCAGCGAACGTCATGGCCGCTGCTGTCTCTCTTTATATATTCGTTGTCGATCTCGTCGTAAGTCTCCGTCGTCGTCGCCTCTTCCTTCTTACTTCTTCGGTGAATCTCGATATCGATATCGGTTTCGCTATCGTATCGTCCACCGCTGAGAGCTGTACTGTGACGCAGGCTTGCTGAAATGAATGAATGACTGGACGCTGGGCTCGACTGCAACGCTGGAACTTCCCCTGCCTCGTGTACGCTCGGGACGGCCTCTACCCAATGATAGGTGGCACCTCACCGCAAGTACGTGGTATACTTGGATGACGCACGGCGATACCTCTCGTCACTGCAAAGCGCCGCAGGACTCGGATGTCTCCGCCGTTCACAGACAGCAGCGCTTTCGAGCTGGAGCTGAATCCAAGCCGAGCTGGAGCAGGCTACACAGGCTGCGCTTCACTGCAGAAAAGACAGGCGAGCAGGCAACTGAATGAGTGAATGGCGTCTGCCCTGCTGACACGCCGCCTCTCCCTAGCCGTTATTTCTGGTGGTGTGCTGTTCCGTCGCAGCCCTTGCTTCTCCAAAAACCTGTCTGTGCCGCCTAGGCCTGGGATCCTCCCGGGATGTCTTGCTTTTTTTTTTTCCTCCGAACTTATCGTCTCCTCGTGACCGAGTCGCAATCAAGGTCAACCTTTTTTTTCTTTGTCACACCCTCTTTGCCGCTGCAGCCTGGAATGCGGAGAGGTGGTGCCTCTTTTTTTTTGTGATAAGCACCGCAGCGGGTGGCAATCAAGCGAGACAGGGAACCAGGATAGAGAGCGAGACAGAGAGAGGCTGATCGGCCGTCTCCAGGAAGAGGACTCGGCGGAGGTGGCTTGTAAGTGTGAAGTACTTCGCAGGCCCAGCTAAAGCTGCGGTCAGGCAAGTCAGTGGCAGAATCCAAAGTGAACTACCGAGTATCTAAGTGGACGAGTTCCTGCAGGAAAAAAAAGGGGGGGTAGTTGAAGGCGGTGGGAAGACTGAAGACTATCGATTAGGTGCTCCTCTTCTGCAGTCACTGTTTTTCTCCTCTCCTCTTTCAATATGTCAGGGCAGCGGTGAGAAAGTGAGCCGACGATGGTGGAGGTCCGAATGAGCGAGTGGGCTTTTTTTGCGCACAACTGGTGGTGGCTTTGGCCCCCCAGCCTCCGCAGCTGCTCATACAAGCCCTGCTTTGGGCCAACAACCTCTTCTTCTTTAGCCGAGCTCTGCTCTTTTTGAGAGCGGCGGAGTCTGTATGTATGCAATTGGCAAGAGGTGATGCTTTACAGTATAGCCTGCTGGGCACAGAAGCAAAGGAAGCAATCCGGTTCGTCCGGTCCAGGGCGTCAAGGCCCGCGTGCATATGCGATGGATTGTTTTGTTAGCGGTAGCGGAGAAAACATCGCTCCACACGCACTATAGTTCCAGGGATCAGCTCCAGTGACTGGTGGCTGGTGACCAGCTGTGGCCGGCTAGAGCAAGCCTGTTGCCAGGGGCAATCGCGAGATGGCTGCAGTACAGCTGTATGCGCAGTAGAGATAGCAAAGGTGCATGTAGTAGAACAGTCGGTGCATCTAATTACTAGTAGTATTGTCTTGCTGATGCTGCTGCTGTTGGTCAAGGCTGCGCTAGGTACAAATACATCAAGCCCTCTGCGCAGCATGCACAGAAAAGTCTATACTCTCTATGATATCGCCCATCGAATGTGAATTCGCTTCTACTTTTACAATGCCCACCAGAAAAAAAAAAGAGACCAAATTCCTCAACAAAGAAAAAGCTCAAAAGTTCACGCATCATTTCGCTCATAGTAGTCTTCTTGTCCACGTCTCGTCTCCTCAGACACTCCTCCCTCCAGGCCCTTCTCGCCGTGAACATGCTCTTTCGTCTGCCAGAACGCCTCTCTCTCGCGCAGCAGCTCCTCTGCCCACTCCTTCATCTCAGGCAGAGTGACCTTGCGTGAAACGTATGCAAACTCACCCAAGTCCACGTGCCCCTTACCCTGCTTCTCATATTCAACCATCTGCAGGAGCAGCTCAATCTTATCCACGTCGTGCACGAAATGACTATCCAGCGTTTCCGAATCTTCGTATTCCTGCCATATCGCTCGAATCTCGGTGCCAACGTCGCCACCTGCAACACTGCGCAACAGATTCTTGGTCAGAAAGTCCATTGTCTCGGCCTCTCGTCGATTCTTCTCGGGCTTGGCGACGCCGTCGACCGGGGTGATGTCTCCGACCAGGAGCTCGGCCATGTCGTGGACCAAGGCCATCTTCATGCACTTTTGTAGATCCAGCTTCTTGGCCAGGGTCGGTGGCGCAAACATGGTGATGAGAGACATGCGGTACATGTGATCTGAAATCGACTCGCCTCTGCAACAGAGAAAAACACCTTTCGTTAGCAATCTTGACTTTTTGCGTCGCCATTGTTCGACATGTTCAGCCACAGACTGACCTTTCGATTCCAAACCGTCGCCATCCCTCACGCTTTGTAGTCTTGAGCCGGGAAAGCATGTGGAAGAACGGAATCGGTGAGCTCGAGCCCTCGGCAGGTGCCTCGCTGGGAATCTCTTCCAGCACTCTCTTGACAGACCATTCTCCAGACAGCTTTACCGCAGGCGCAAATCCCAAGTCTGTGCCGCCGTTAGTAGTGACTCGATGGAAGTTTAGAAAGATGCCACGGGGAAGCCGTACTCGCAACAACTTCGGGCGCATTTGCGCCATTTGTGACCTCTTCCTGCGCTCCCATGGTATATACTCGCGATGCGGTCTGGCTCGGTTCTGGTGTTTATCGCTTGTTATCGGCAATCTTTGTCGCGGGGTTCTCGGTGGCGGGGCAAGGCGAGGAGATGCGAGAAAGATGAGAAGACGGCGGGTGGAATGAGTAGGTGAAGAAATAGAAGAAGAAAAGATTAGAGTCTTTCTTTAACAATCCCAGCTCTAGAGCAGATGTTTTTGAGGGCAAGTTTATAGAAGAAAGGAGAAAGCCCAAATGTTGTTCTATCCAAGCTGCCAAATTCCTGCCACATGGCTCGGCGCCCCATAAAACTCATAGCGGGCTGCTAGTGCGCTGTGGGCGGGTCTCTGCATCGCTGAATTGGCGAATGGTGAAGGGCGGATACACAATGGCCAAACAAACACTGCAGATGGGGGTTAGGAATCGTGCCACGCTTGGGAATATGATTGCAATAAAAGCTGCCATTTATGCACAAAGCACGGCCATCGATCTCGATCACCGCAGTTGAGACAACCTGCTGCAGTATTTGTGTTTGGAGTTTAGCACCAAATACTGCTGCAGCGTGCATATGAGTGATGGAATTCGTCCACCTTACCCTAGAAATGTTGTAACAATCGTGAATTCTTTCACGCATGATTCGTGACAAGATGTTTGCTACTCCAAAGAAACCTGATGGGGAAGCTGATGACGCTGTGACTATTTGCATAAGATGTTAAAACGTAGAATATCCATCTGTGCACAGCCGATATAAGCACAGGTATTGGTTAAAGACAAGAAGCAATCTTTCCTTTAACACACAAACGCTAAAGTGCCTAATCCATAGTTATACAAGAACATGATATTCCATCCCCCATGATCGGCATAGCTGTATCAAACCGCTTGCAGCTCGCTTCTTCATCTCGCAACCGTAGCCACCATACAGAAAATAAACATCTCCAGTCCTCAGCGAGTCAACCAGCTCTCAACCAAGTATATAAAGTCAAGCCGAGGCTACCACCGTCTGTGCGGATGAATCTATTGCCGTATCTGCAGATATCCCTACTACTGTATGTGCAGATGAAGCTGAACTTTCCTCTCTCAGCGTGGTTAAACCAGAGTCTGACGATTGGTAATGGATTGAGCCCTCCCTTTGCCGTGAGAATGAAGCATTCTCTGGCGGGCGGGTTGAATCATCATTTGGTGGTGGACATGAAGCCCGTAGTTCAATTCCCGACTCTTGCGGCTGATGTGGAGCAGGACGCTCTGTCTTCACACAGCATATCCAGCGAACGAGTTTGACCAACAACATCCAGTACCAACAAGCGGCTTCGACCAAACTGTTCCATGACTCGCGGACAATATAACAAACCACATCGACGGGATCTGTGCGAGTTGCTATACACACGGCCAGTATAAGCATAACAGAGAGGATAACAGAGGTTATCAGCAGGATCATCATGAGACGTTCCGTGTATTGGTCAGTTTCGATGTCTGGTCTTTTGCGACCGACATCTTCAGGGTCCCAGGAGGGTGGTTGCCAGTTGGGTGGCGGATAGCTGAGAGATGGGTATGTTAGCTAGGTAGGCAGGTATCGGTCATGAAACACTCGGGAGAGCGAGGAACATACAGAGCCATTTTCGTTGTTGCTAGGTGTAAAGTCGGCTACTGAACGATTGTATGGGAAGTAAGTATAAAAAGTGAAACGATCACTGTGAAGTGAACAGTGGTTAATCGTAAAGAGTCGTGTAGATAATCATCCAAAAGGTCTATCGCTGCAATATTGAGAATATCAAAGATAACAGAAAGAAAAGGTTGTTATTGTTAGACATGGAGTTTGCATTTACAATTGGCAGCGACAACGTTCAGGTACGAGCCCATGTTATTCTAGAGTAGTCAACATGGAAGGAGCTTGTTGGAACCATATGAAGGTTGAAAGTTTGATCTTGGAGATATGCTCTTTCTACATCAGCGTCGCTCAAGTGTGCATCCGAATAGTATACTGATTGGAAGAAAAGAAGAACAGAAACCGAAAACCAGAATATAACTCGTCATGTATTGACCCCATCCATCATCTAGTTAACCATCAGCAGCAAGAACCTCTCCATCAACAGCACCGCTCAGACACAAACATCCCTCACCTCCAAATCTCCTTCCGAAACCCCTCCGTCAGCCTCTCATCCTCCCCATAAACCTCCTGCCACCCCGTAAACCCCTGCTCCAGCAGGCAAACCTCCTGCTCCTTGGGAGGCTCCTCGCCCAGCGACGCCAGCAGAGCGTCCCTCTCGCGGAGATACTTGAGCGCTGAGAAGGGCCCCCGCTGCTGGCTGAGCGCGCAGTGGAAGATGACCGTCTTTTTGTCCTTGACTTTGCGGATGAGGGTGGGCATGAGGGCGTCGAGCTGGTTGCAGGGGATGTTGGTTGAGCCTTTGATGTGGCCGCCTATGTAGTCTGCTCAGCGTTAGTCTAGGGTTCATATACACTGATGCCTAATATCATGACATTCATTTCCCCATGTTTATAAAGCGTCTCAATAAGGTCTATTCACTTGCACATCTAATCTCGCAAACAAATGAAAAAATGTCACTAAAATCATGTGCATCATACATACCAACATCGCGAACATCAATCACCGCAAAGCTTGGCTCTGCCTTTTCCTGCTCCTCCAGAATCTTCTCGGAAAGCGTCTTCGCAGACACCCTCTTCAGCGACGCAACCGTGTAATTCGACATGCCTCTAGCAACTGGAAAAGAACTCTTTACTGCAAAGGGTCGAAAGAGGTTCATATAAAAAGGATACCCGTTGGTTCTCGCCTTTTGTATTGTTGAATCCAAGATGGAGCTCGGCAGTGCTAAACAGGTTTAAGATGAAAGTGCCGAAAAGGCGTGCCTGGGCGCAACTAAGCTAAGGCGCCTCCCCGCCAAAAGTCACCGCCACGACCATTAAATAGCTCCTGGCTCCCTCCCGGCCATGCGATACGGCGTACAGGGCTGCCTTTTGCTTTGATGGGCACATGACTGTCTGGCCACAGAGATTCTGTAACAAACAAGGGGTTTTGTGTTTGTGGAATGTTCCCGTGTCCAGAACGCTCTGATCCTGGGCGGTTATTTGGCGGGCCGAGTGACCGCTTGTCAAATTGACTTACAGAGGGGTATCTGCGACTTTGCTTCACAAGCAGCTGCAGTAGAGTTTGGACGAGGAGAGCGACGAATGGACATGGCGTTTGATGACTTTGATTATTGTATCGAATTTAAGGGTATTATTTCTTGCATGCATCCCCTCAACTCCTTCGTATAAACAATGGCAGAAAAGTATGAATAACTGAATCAAAGGCTGCCTCCCCTTTCTTCTCTCCTCCCCCGTCATATATCATTGACAATATCATAGTTTAGTTGCCAGTCCCACTGCCAAAAATTCAATGAAGCAAATAAAAAAAGAAGCAGCAAAACCGCGACTTCTGCATGGAACAATATAGTGTATAATACTTCCACCCCTGTTTTACGCCTGGATACTCCCGAATACCGCATCAGCTCATGCCTTACCGACCCATCCTGCGTTGCTGAAAAAATCAAATATTCTCGCCCCCTTCTGAGTGTCAAGCCGGCAGATTTCTTTGGCTTGTTTTTTCTTAAGCGTCCCATTGCCCCTGATGGCTTCCTTGAGGATTTGCTCCTTGATCATCAAGTATGGCTTCGGCTGAAGGCGCACCACCTCACAAAGCTTCGCTTCCTCTGCTGTGAGAAGGTGCAAGTCGGGAGCGTTCTCCTGCGTCAACTGTAATGGCTGCACGCCAGAGATGGGCTGCGGGATATACTTTTGTTTGGTGGGACTGTGGCCGTTGATGCCGTTGACTCCATTGACGCCGTTTACGCCATTGGTATGGCCATTTGTCAGAGGTTTGGCATCATCGCCATTTGTCTCTCCGTCCCGCTGACGGATTGGCAGCTCAGGGGCAATGAGGAGAGCAGCTCCGCTTGGAGGTTCTGGAGGAGGGGCCGCCTTTGAACGCTGAGATGATGCCAGCCTCTCCCTATCCATAGACCCCATAGGTATAGACTTTTGTATCCGAGAAGCCTTTTCCGTCTCGTACTTTTCGCCGCTTCGGAGATCTCCAATGCGAAGGCTGCGCCACTCCTGGAGCTGAGCAATGGCTTGTCTTAGATTCAGCTCATCCTGCAAGCCTTGTGTGAAATCTTCAAAGTCTCTATGGTTCATGATGCGGCCAAATGGCTTTGCCCTCTGGAGCAAGTCTCTCTCCTCTTTGGTCTTCCTCTTTTCTATCTTTGTGTTTTCTCGATAATCTAACAGATTATGCTCGAAAACAACCTTTTTGCGCTCTACACGCTGTGTTAGTCGACAGTTGTAGATTTCCATCACCGTCAACTTGAGCTCCATCTCGGGCTCCAGTTCTCCAGTTCTTGGATTGAGTCCGTCACCAGGGTCGAACTGCATCAGCTGCACTGCCTCTTCTGCCTCATTGGCATACTCGGTTTCAAACTCGAGACGTCCAGGCATGTAACCTTGGATCTCGTGGCAACTAGGAACACTGGCCGTGGGTTTTGTTTTTGGTTGCAAGGCCGGTGCATTCTTCGACGCCTCTCTTCGCTCTTCGATGCGCCGCTTCTTGCGCGACTGGAACTCTTCTCGTGGGATTTCATTTGCGAGCTCGCAGTCATGAGGACTACATCTTTTGGGGAGCGGAAATTTGGGCGAGTCGACAAATGTACTGAGGTAGTGGTCGCGCACTTCGTCCTTTTCGCGAAAGCCGCCAATGTGGTCAGCGATATCCGCCCATGACCCGAGGCCATATATCTCGGCGCCCTCGAGCAGCAGCAATTCCTCGTCGGCACCCCATTCTCGCTCAAAGATGGGAAACGAATTCTGCTCAATTACACGGAACGAGTGCGTTGCGGGATCGTGGGTGTTGCGCGACTCGCCCTTGCCAAAGCACGGCACGCAGAGGTCGAAATCAGAGCATGCAGGGTCGGCACATCTAATGCGGACCTATAAGCCAACAGACGTGAGTCAGCAACCATTCAAAGCATATGTGGGCTATACAAGATAGAGTTGCAGATAGAGTGTCGATTGACTTACCGTCGAAGTGATGTCGCACGAGCAGACGTCGCATACGTACTTGACGCCACCCTCACCTCCCCTCGTCGCCGTCTTCTTGCGGATGACGCCCATTTCGCCGAGCGCTGCAGCCGGACAGGCGTCTGGCGCGATGCTGCCACCCTAGAAATGATTGGTGGAGCTGGTCGGAAAAACAGCGGCAGCCACGGCGCGGGCCACGGACGTGACTGGGGCCTGAAAAGAGTGTCTGGAGAAAGCGCGCGGCGCAGAGACGCTGCTGCAACGGTTGTTTTGATGGAATTCGCGGGTTTGCGGCGGCGGTTGATGGAAATGAGGACGGGCGCCGCCCAGGACTCGGCGGCCAGATGATGTTGGATGTCGCGATCCGGTGGAGCCAGGGATGCGCTGATGCGGCCCATGGAATTCGCTGGGCGGCTGCAGAAGGAGGCGAGCAGGCACAGGTGCGGTGCTAGCCAGATGCGGCTGAATACCGTCACGTGATATAAAATCATTATAAGTTTCGACTACTTCTTTTCGCCTTATTTCTCTGCGAATCTCCTAGAATCTTAGGTATAGAGTACTACTATCGCGCTTGTCCCTGTTGAACCGCTGAAAACCCCACTGAAGCCTGCATCGACTTGGCGAGATCAACAAGATGCAACTCTACTCAGATGCTTCTTCTCTTACACGTAAAAATAAAGTGATTTTACTACTAATATCAATATCATAGATGCCCCATAGAGCTCAATCAAATGTCATATGCATGCTACAGCTCTTATCAGCAATACGCATGTGAAAATCTAGACGGCCCTTTTCCCTTCCACTGTCCCACCCAGACACGATGCATCAAGCTCTAAATGGCGCACCCCAACTCTTGCGCAGTCCAACGTTGAACCAAGCTTGCGGGAATGCGTCATAGTGTAGCAGCAGCCTTGCATTCACGACTCGCAAAAGGATTGGCAAACGATGCTCTCTGTTGGCGCGCTTATATGCCTCGACCCGCTCGGCATAGTCCCGGCGCTCTAAATTTTAAGACGGAGCACGGAGCCTGACGTATTGGCCCGAGTTTTGGTCCTTGCCGCAAAAGATGCCCCCGGCCTTGGCTCCAAGTTTATTCTCCGAAGCAATATAATTTGATCTTTTGTTCGTATCTCACAACTTTATTATTCACCCGAGATCGTCTCTGTGATATATTGCGTCTTTCCGTCGGCATATTCCGCTGTCAATAGCCTTAATTTTTTCTCTTCTGCAGCCATGCCGGACCAGATCCTCGATGACATCTCCCACCGGAGGTACAACCCACTAACAGACAGTTGGTTGCTTGTCTCTCCTCACCGGACGAAGCGTCCCTGGCAGTAAGTAGAAGATGAAATAAGCTTTGAGAGAAGTAATAAAAGTGCGTGATGTACTGACTTTGCTTCTCTGCTCATAGAGGCCAGCAAGAAGGTGCCGCAGCTACCACTCTGCCCGCGTATGATCCCAAGGTATATCTCATCTTATGTTTCATACTTGGTTCATTCATCACTCATCTAACATGTCAAACAGTGCTACCTCTGTCCTGGAAACGCTCGCGCTGCCGGCGATAGCAACCCAAAGTATGAAAAGACATTTGCCTTTGTAAATGACTACAGCGCTGTCAAGGAGCAGCAGCCCGACTACGATGGCAGCCAGTCCGCAGATGGTAAATCTAACAGCCCTTCTTTTTGACCTTTCATAGCGAGTAAACACCATGCTGATTCAGATATACAGACTTGGAGTCACTCCTGCTGCGAGCTCAGAGCGTCAAGGGCGTGTGCTACGTCATGACATTCTCACCAACGCACAATGTCACTCTCGCCGACATGCCTCCAGCCGAAATCCTCCCAGTTGTTGACCACTGGACCCGGCTTTATGCCAACCACCTCTCCCCGTCAAACCCTCTCTCAGCAGTTGCCGCACAGCTCCAGCTATCCATCACAAAGGACGAGGCCCCCAGCCCCAAGGACAACTATCGCTACATGCAAATCTTTGAGAACAAGGGCGCGACTATGGGCTGCTCCAACCCGCATCCCCACTGCCAGGCCTGGACAACATCTACCTTGCCCGAAGAGCCAGGCAAGGAGCTCACACAAATGACAAAATACCGTCAGCAGCACGGAAGGCATCTGCTGGCAGACTACATCAAGCTGGAGCTGGCAAAGGAGGAGCGCCTCGTGTGGCAGAATGCCTCTTTCGCTGTGGTTTGCCCCTGGTGGGCAGTCTGGCCATTCGAGGTCATTATTCTCCCCAAGCGACACGTCCGCGCACTCGTCGACTTCACCGCCGACGAGCGGCTGCAATTCGCAGAGGCCATCCAGGAAGTTGCTCGACGATACGACAACCTGTTTGAGTGCCACTTCCCGTACAGCTCAGGCATTCACCAGGCGCCCCTGGACGGAACGCCAGAGGAAATCGAGAACGCCTATCTCCACATGCACTTTTACCCGCCACTGCTACGGTCTGCAACGGTCAAGAAGTTTTTAGTTGGCTTCGAGCTGATGGCGGAGCCGCAGCGAGATATCACTCCTGAGCAGGCAGCTGCTCGCCTTCGAGCTTTGGATGGACCGCTGTATCGGAATCAGCTGGGCTGAGCTAGCTAACCCAAGCTGAACCAGATAAAATGTTGTATAGGTAGGTATAATTAAGTAGATAAACAAGATAAAGGTTTTCCTTTCAACATATATAATTTCTCCAACTCGTTATTCCTACACTTTTATTTTCGTTCCCCCTAATGAACCAGCACACACGTCTTGCTTTACTCAAACTCGACATAGTAGCTTCGCACCATGGGCATCCAGATGAGCGCCGTCGTAGCTAGCGTAAAGGGAAAGATCTGGGGGAGCCCAAAGGTCATACTCTTAAACACAAACAGCTCGCTGGCGAAATGGCCCAGCGCCACCACGTACGTCCAGATGGCAATATTGTACATCGGACCGCTGTTCAGGTGGTACGCCGCATAGCATCGAACGATGGCGGTGATGATTGTCCACGTCCCGAACAGCCTTCCGGCGAGGGGCGTCAGCTGGTCCGCAGCCTTGGGGTCGTTCTGGGCATGGACCAGCTTGTCGGCTGAGTCTTCTGGGTTGAAGTTTGCGGACGCGGGAGGCAGCTTGGGATTTCGGATGAAGCGGCCGTTGTAGACGCGCCGTGAGAAGTGCAGGGTCGTGTAGGCTTGGAGGGAGTTGCCGATGGATACGACGGAGAGCTGCGGTAGAGATTTGGTGTTAGCTGGGGACGGGAGACGAAGCGGGGTGTTTGGTGGGAAGCAAAGGATTGGGATTGATGCGTACAATGAGCATGTAGTAGGGGAGAATGCCGTTGGCTTCCGGCAGGATTGACTTGAGCAGATCCATGGCTGAAGGTGTGGTTGGTGTTGTGTTGTAAGGAAATTGGAGTTGGAAGATCGAAAGATTCGGGACACTTGCATTAAGCTGCGGGTACCCTTGCTTAGAGCACTAACAGAAAGCAGCCACAATCACATCTTTGCAAGCACATTGCATCAACTGATAAAATCTTGATGATGATGCAACCCAATCGAAACGGTATATTGTTTCCCTTGATTTTCATCCTTTAAACTCCCTTTCCCTTTGCACTTAATGTGCTACTGCTGGTTGGGATATCTAGTCCGCCCGCAGTTTTACAGGATCACAAGTGATGAACAGTTTGTTCACATGCCGTACCACGTATGACAGTACTCACGCCTAACTGATTTTGATTAGAAAGGAGAAAAGAAAAAGAAACTTTGAAATTTGCAACACTATAATATTAGATGAGAATATAGGTAGTATCCAATCTCTGATTACTATCCCAAGCTGCTGCTGCCGGTACCTTGATCTAATCCAACGCCGCGGCTGGACCCAGAGCTTCTGCACGCTTTAATTGGCCCGCCGGCAGCCCAACGGGATTGAAAGTTGAGCTCCCACTAAAGCTCCCATCCCACCAAAATCTTCTCCCTCTGTTTACCTCCAACTTGCCACTGTTGTCACTCTGCGCAATCATGGCGTCCGTCACGAGCTTCCTCGAAAACGTGCCTCAGCCCGTCCAATGGGCGTTGGCTGGAATTGGTGCGCTGTACCTGGGATCCAAGTTCTTTGGCTACCTCCAGCTTGTCCTCAACTCATTCCTGCTGCCGGGCACCAATGTAAGAGCGATAGCCCCTCCTACTATTTACGGCGTGGAATTGGAATTTTCTTGTTGCTGACTGCGAGATAGCTCCGCAAGTATGGAAAGCCTGGCACCTGGGCTGTTGTTACCGGTGCCTCCGATGGCCTAGGCAAAGAGTACGCCTCGCAGCTCGCTGCCAAGGGCTTCAACCTCGTGCTCGTTTCTCGAACCCAGTCGAAGCTTGATACTCTGGCGAAGGAGCTTGAACAAAAGTACACCGGCAAGGGTCTTCAGGTCAAGACGTTTGCTATGGACTTTGCCCAGGACAACGACTCGGACTACGATAGGCTGCGAGAGCTTGTGCAGGATCTGGATATTGGCATTCTGATCAACAACGTCGGCCAGAGCCACAGCATCCCTGTTCCCTTCTTGGAGACTCCCAAGGAGGAGCTGCAGAACATTGTCACCATCAACTGCCTCGGAACATTGAAGACCACTCAGGTCGTTGCTCCCATTCTCCAGAAGCGCAAGCGCGGTTTGATCCTGACCATGGGCTCGTTCGGTGGCTGGACGCCCACTCCTTACCTGGCCACCTATTCCGGCAGCAAGGCTTTCCTCCAGCAGTGGAGCAACGCCTTGTCCGCTGAACTGTCTGATTACAACGTCGATGTCTACTTGGTCCTCAGCCACCTGGTCACGACCGCCATGAGCAAGATCCGCCGCACCAGCTTGCTTATCCCCAACCCTCGCGGCTTCGTCAAGGCTGCGCTGGGCAAGGTCGGAACCGGCAGCTACCAGACTGCGCCAAACACTTATACCCCCTGGTGGAGCCACGCTTTTATGCTATGGGTGGTTGAGAATGTGGTGGGCGTCAACAGCCCCTTGACAATCTGGTACAATAAGAAGATGCACATTGATATCCGCCGCCGGGCTCTTCGCAAGGCGGCTCGCGAGGCAAAGAAGCAGTAATTGGTCTTGGAATCCGCTTGCTTTGCTTTGGTGCTATCCGATTGAAAATTTGGGATAATGGAGTATCATATCATTAAATGTATTGTGAGGCAAGGTCAAATGGGGAATCGGCAGTTGAAATGCTTGAACAAACTGAGCCACGGTGGTTTGACTCGAGCTAGCAAGAGAGTACGTGCAGCTAGCTAAAGGAGATGAAGAAATAAATATATAACAACTACTTACTTTCCAGGAATAATATGACGAATTTCACCATTACATCGACCTACATAACAAAGTTCAAGGCGTCCAGCAGTCCTAGCCCAAATGTGTAGACTCACTCATAAGTGACATCATTGATCGCAAATTGGCAAAAACGGAAACAAAGAGGAAGAGAGTATCACCACCTGAACATTCACAAACTGGTTGTTAGCCCTCCACCTACCACATAATCTCATTGGGCCATAGGTACTCATTAAACCTTGCTCTTGCTCGTTGCGCCTCTTTCAAGCCCCGTGCTTCTTCGGCGGGAAGAATGCTTTCCCAAGCGAAGTTGTACTGGGCTATCTTCTCAAAGGACCAAGTTTCGTATAGCCCTGGAATGAAGCCCAGGAAAAACATCCGCTTCCTGTCCCACAATGCGAATCCCAGTCGGCGATAAGAAGTGAAGGTGACGCCTATTATGGGCGATGAAAGCATGTCGCTCGAGAGGCCTGCCCAGTATTCTATGTTGGTGGAAGGCCCATCGATGGCAGCACATGTCTGATCCCAGCGGGCGACTGTCGCTCTCGACGGTTCGCCTTTCATACCCTCCATTTCAGGCGGCAAATCGAGTTCAATCACTTTATTGGGATAAACCAACCTATAGCAATGGCCATCTTCCCATTCTTGCTGCTGAAGCTCGGGAAGAGGCGTTACCCAGCCCGCATCACTATAGCCCTTTAGTGGCCGAGGGAGGCGGTAGTAAGGTCCCTTTTGCTTCGTTTCTGGCTGCGTTTTGAGGCTTTCAAGATATACTATGACGGTTTTTGCCTCTTCAGCCGGGCCATTTATGACCGAATGATTTACGTTTTCACGGATAAAGTCTTGCGGCTTCTTGAATTCGGCTCCATTCTTAGGGTTTCTCCATTGAGGAGCTGACAGAATCATCTCATGGGCGAGTTGAACGAACCACAGAGCTCGTGAAACTCGCGTTTCTTCGACCCAGCTGGGCTGCCCGATGTCTGCTGTTACTAACGGAGTACCCTCAAAGTCAAGCATACAAGGAGGCGTTGGGTCACCGGGGTCGATGCAATTGCGAGTACTGTCGAGATATTTGGGTGTAAACGAAGGACTTCGTATGCGGGCGAGATAAAACTCCAAGCAGCCATGTGTGAGGACTGAGATGTGTCGGGCTGTTGCCACAACAGACCAGAGTATGTCACTAGGCGGCTTGTCGACTGTGATGGCAGTTGCGAGAGAAGCAGTAATTTTAGCCGTGAGATTGTCTAAGTCATCGTATTTAAGGCCGTTATCGGTATTCTTTGCCATGTGTTTATGAATAAAATAGACAAAGTCGTCTGGACACGCGAACAGTTCTTGAGAATTGCGCATCAGGATGAGGGCACGTATAAATTGTTGGATACCAGGAGCTAGGAGAGAGTCTGGAGAAGACAGGACAGATTCGGTGATGAGACAGGCGTATTCGTTGAACAAGCGCCATGCTTTTGGCGATGCCATGATCAAAGTATATAACGAATCGAGATCAGTTAACTGAGTCATGATTGCGAGTAGAGTTTCGGGTGCTAGGTCTTCTAGCGAAATACGAGACTGAACCTCCATTTCTGGGTCTTGTTTGCTGTCCATGTTTGAAGAAACGCAAAGTCTTTTGAGAGAGGCTTCCATGACTTCGTGTTAATGACTTGGGGAGCGCCTTCTGATCTTTTGATCCTTCGCTGTCTACTTAGGCAAGATATAGGGTGAATGCCTGTAAGACAAGACTCCAATAGGCCGATACGATGGCTGAATTTGCTGATATTCGAGCGTGATTATCTCTCAATGACTTAAAGGTGTGCACAATTGGACGAGAATAAATAAGTGTTTCAAGATCAAGACAAGAGGGGCCTTATAGCCTGATAGTTCCAATATATTGATTTGGGTGAAAGAGCTCAATGAAGAGTATCTCTCAGTCGGATGGACTGGAGCATCTTTGACATTCACTAGGTGATCAAAAAGTAAGTTGAAGAGGAAAAATCAGTTCAAATAAAGGTTATTTGAGAGTGATTTATATCCGTGGGAGGACTGGGGCGAGGAGCAACAGGATCTGCTTTTATTCCTGCAGGATGTAGTAGGTCATGTATTCATTCTCTGACAGCTTTCGACGAGTCGGGCTAAGATACATGATGGGGCTTCAAGAGCAAACAAGCGGAGGTACGTACCGCGAGAACAACAGCCCTAATACGGACTAGCGCAATTCGGCGCCCAGGACGGAAAAAAGCAGAGCTCTACCAACCTCCCAGAGTGTACACCAAAATAATCTACGACATCGAATCTTTTGCTCGCGGCGCTGCCATCGCCATCGCCTCCCTGCTCTTCGCCGCGCACCCACCACTCAATTCGCGATCGCGGGGGCCAGCTTCGGATTTGGACGCGAAGCTCCAGATTGCGCCACCCACGGCACGTGCAGCTGGTCCTTGATGGTCTGACCAGCGCGTTTCCTCCATCCGCGGCTCTGGTCCAGGTGAAGCAGCATCAACGCCACGATCTGCCGCCAACATGTCGTATCCTCCCGCCACGCCGATGCGCCCTGTGCCGGGTGCCTTTGTGAACACGCCGGCCATTGTCGCGCGTTACCAGACCTCGCACGACCCTGTCCGCCGGACACTCTTCCCCGTCAGCGAGGGCCAGAATGCCCAGACTTCATCTGCGGCGACCACCACCACAGCGCCTCTAGGCACGGCACCATCGAGCTCGACGGCGATGACGACGACGTCAGGAAATGTCGAGGGCTCTGGATTGTCTTCTCTGACGCCGCTGGCGCCTCCACGCGTCGAAAACATTCCCCCAGTCCTCAAGGCGGCCAAGGCCATTAATGCTTTCCTACAACAGGACGAGAGCTTTCCAGATCTAGATTCCTACTGCAGACGTAAGTTGACATGCTGTTCTCACTCGATGGGAAGACAGAAAAGACGACGCGGGCTAACAAGAGACTGTTGAAAGAGGGGGCATCTTCCGACTATGAGCTTCCCGGCGCCGATTCCGCCTGGGCTCCCTTCCAGAAGACGAACATGTACCCGATCCCGAACCAAGTCTTCGACCACTACAACGCGGGCCAGCTCCAAACCCTCATGGGACTTTTCGCTGAGATCAATCATGCTTGGGTCGTCATTGATAATTCGCTTTTCCTCTGGGACTATACCCACTCCGACCCCGAGCTTATTGGCTTCGAAGACCAACCGCACACGATCCACGCTGTTGCCCTGGTTCCCCCCAAGCCTGGCATCTTTGTAGGCACAATCTCACATATCCTGGTTGTGGCGACATCCTCCGAGATTATCCTGCTCGGCGTGTCTGCCACAGACACGTCTGCCGGTACCAAGAACGTCACCCTGTACCAGACGAAGATGGTCCTGCCCATCCGTGGCAACGACATCCGCATCATCAGTGGCTCTGCCGACGGTCGTATTTTCTTTGGCGGATGCAGCGATGTGGACATTAACGAGCTTTACTATCAATCCGAGGAAAAGTGGTTTTCGAATCGGTGTGGTAAGATCAACCATTCGAACCCTGGCTGGTCCTCCGTTGTCAGCTTGCAATCCAGCTTATGGGGTCACAACGACCCGGAACACTTGGTGGACATTGTGATTGACGATACGAGGAAGCTGGTTTACACTCTTTCAAGCACGTCGACCATTCGAGTCTATCACATGGAATCCCCTGAACGGCTAAATAAGGTGATTGAGAAGACGAAGCTACACTGCCTTCGAGACATTGCACACATGATTACACAGTCAAAACTCTTGACTGATCGGACCAACTTTGTCTCCATCAGCCCCATCTCGAAGCAAGAGGCTTCGAAACTTCATCTCATGGCGCTAACCGATACTGGCTGCCGTCTTTTCTTCAGCGCTACTAATGCTTCATCTTACCTATACGGATCTCAGGCCAACCTAGCCCCCCAGAGCATGCAGGTTCAATTCATTAAATTCCCTCCCTCGGCGGCTGCCCGACGATCAACTCAGTTTGGAGTGGGCTCTCAGCCTTCAGGGGAGACGGTGGTTGATCTTGATTCGACTCTGTTGGTAGCAAGCAGACAGGGCGCTCGATTCCCGCCCGGATTTTTCTTGGACTTTGTGAGCAAGAAGGATGACCCCAATTCCGACTTGCTGTTTGTGGCCGGCCCTGAAACGGGAAGAATAAAGCGGACGTCTCCTACTACCCCCCTAAGATACTTTGAGCAGGCAAGCTGGATTGATATTGGCAGCCGAGCTGAGGCTGTCGGCTTAATCACGAAACCCTTTGCGGCCGCTAGCCAGCCCGTCGGATTTGGCAATGAGCTGGCTGTCCAGTTTGACGAGCCTCCTAGCGAATTTGCTGTTCTTACTAATACGGGAATTCACGTTATCCGGCGACGACGATTGGTGGATACTTTTGCGGCTGCTATTCGAGATTCTCCCGGAGACGAGGCACTAGATCTCATGTGCCGTCGTCTCATATTCCTCTATGGCCGTGTAGAGACGGTCTCAACGGCTTTGGCTGTCGCCTGCGGTCATGGAGACTCCCGGCGAGGCTCTGTGAAGGCGATTGATCAAGTAACCGAGGACCGAGCAAGAGCTCTCTTTGTCGACTTTGGTGGTCAACCTACGATTGTAGAAACTGATGGATCATCTCTCACAACAGACTCGGTTAAGCTGTCATCCCGGCATGACGCATTGGCCATGTATTTGTCAAGATTGATCAGGAAGCTCTGGAAAGCTCCCGTCATCAACGCAAGCGTTGCTCCCAACGGGACTATTTCCGTGTCTTCATCGATTCCTCCTGCTAAGCTCATCTCCACCCAGGAGAACCTTGAGCGGCTAAGGAAATTCATTGAGTCTAACAAGGGCCTCATTCAGGGGATGTCAGGCCCTTCTGACTTACAAAGAGTTGCCAGCCGACAGGAGGAGGTGGCGCTGCAGGCAGAGCACCAGGCACTGCATGCGCTCTCAAAACTGATGGAAAGCATATCAGAAGGCATTTCATTTGTGCTTATGCTCTTTGACGAACGTGTGTCAGACATCTATGCCAGACTGGACGATACCTCTCGGCAGCAACTCAGGGATTTGACATATGAGAAGCTCTTCTCACAAACAGATGGCAAGGATCTTGCCAAGCTGTTGGTCAAGGCCATCGTCAACCGCAACATTGAGAGTGGCTCAAACGTTGAGACGGTAGCAGACGCGCTAAGGCGGAGATGCGGCAGCTTCTGCAGCCCTGATGATGTAGTCATCTTCAAGGCCCAGGAGTCGCTGAAGCGAGCGTCTGAGCAGCCGCCCAACACCAACCAGTCCAGGATCCTCCTCAATGAGAGCTTATCCCTGTTTCAGAAAGTAGCTCGCAGCCTGACATTCGGTAACCTACAGGTTGCCATCGCGCAGTACATTGACATGAAGTACTACGCCGGCGCTGTGCAGCTGTGTCTCTACGTTGCCCGAGAGCAAGATAGAGGAAACACGGCCTTGATGTGGATCAACGACGGCAAGCCTGCGGCTGATCCTCGCGCCAACGCCTTCAATGAGAGGAGAAGAGTTTATGATCTCATCCACGAGGTTCTGCGACACCTTGATGCCGCCTCAAGTATGGAACCGCTGACGATTGACGGCCGGCCAACACTTATCGCTACTAAGAGAAACGAGGCGTACGAGGTGGTCAACGGGTCAGACGATGAAGTCTTCCACTTTGACCTGTACGAATGGTACATTGAGCAGGGTTGGACCGAACGGATACTGGGCATCGATTCTCCACACGTCATTACCTTCCTGCAGCGGCTGGCGGGCACCAACGTGGAGCATGCCGACCTCCTCTGCCGCTTCTACACTAACCGAAGCCGCTTCTTCGATGCAGCTGAGGTACAGGCCGAGCTGGCCAGCTCCGACTTTCCGCTGAACATCAAGGACCGGCTCAGGCTCCTCAGCTTGGCAAAGGCCAATGCCAATGTGGCAACTGTTGGCATCAGTCGACAGCAGCAGCAGCGACTGAACCACGAGGTGACGGATCTGCTGGAAGTTGCCAACATCCAGGATGATCTTTTGGGCCGCCTGTTAGCGGACGATAGAATCGATGCTGAAAGAAAGACTGAGATTGAAAAGGCACTCGATGGAAGGATCATTAGCCTTTCAGATGTAAGAACATTTCTCACTAAGCATTAATCATTTTATGGAGCTAATATTATTTTGTGCAGCTTTTCAACGATTACGCCGATCAGGCCGGATACTATGATTTGTGCCTGCTGATCTACCACACTGCCAACTACCGCAACCCTACGACCATTGCATCAACATGGGATAGCCTGATCCAGCAGACTCACGCCGAAATCATGGCGAAACATGAGGCGACGGCGGCCGGCATGTCACTGCCTCCCTTGCCGTACGAAGCCGTGACGAGCAAGATTCAAAATATTGCTCACCACACATCATTGGACAGCTTCATCTTCCCGATCCAGACCCTCCTGCCGCAGTTATGTCGGTATGCCGTCACCTACCAGCAGGATGCCACCATTGGTGCCGATCCTACGTGGCCGGTGCAGCTATTCCTGTCCCTGGGCGTGTCCCACGACATGATTGTGCGCGTGCTCGAGAACATCTTTGACACGCAAGACTATGGCTTTAGCGGCATGGTGCGCAACCGCATCATCGAGATCATCGTCTTCGTGGTGAACGATTGGGTGGCTGAGGTACGGCGACGTGGCGGCGCAGCCAAGGGAGGCTTGCTTGGGCCTTCCATCAGCGACCTCCTGCAACGTTGCGAGGCTGCCCTGCCGCCGGCAGGCCAGGGCCACAACGACGGCGGTGCAAACCTGGCGGACATCCGACGCGTGCTGAGGATGCTGCGGAGAGAGGTGGCCGGGCTGGTGGAGCGGCTGCCAGCAGCGAGCACGAGATTTATGTGAGATGTGAGATGTGAGCGGATCCCTGGAGTGGACTCTTTTTTGTTACCTTTGCCTTTATTTTGTCTATGTATGCGGTAGCTGCATTTGGGGGAGGGGGAGGAGGAGGATGGTGGTAATCATTTGTCCGGCTTGTTATTCATCTTTTTATTCCTTTCTCGCTTTGTTTACTTGATTTGAAATGAAGAGAGAAAAGAATAAGGAAGGGAAGCAAAGAAGAGGAAGCGAAAGAAGGAAAAAAGGAAAGACGGACATGTAATCTCTGGTTTTATTGTGAAATGGGGCGCCAAATGGAGGGGGTTAAACAAAGGGTCAAGATTCTTAAATTTGAAAAGATTATTGTATAAGCAAGAAGGAGACAAAGACAGAGACAGAGATGACGCATAACACGAGATACACAAGAGGGCGAACACACGCACACACGGGGCATATCATAGTAGGTATGTATATGCGCGTGTATAAAGTAGAAACGCAGACTAGGTTTTAGTTTTCTTTCAAGATATGTATGTATGGAGTATTAGTCGCATAGTATTGTTATGCGATGGTTATAGAAGAGATCGGAGAAGCGTGTTTTACCACTTTTTCCATCATTCTTTCCCCTTGTTAGTGTCTAATGTGAAGCCTTGTGTTTTTTCCTGTTTGTTATGATTGCGTTGTAAGTGGGCTGGGTTGCTGCTGGTTTGCCTTGAATTTATGTCTCATGGATGCCCAAAAGCGTTTTCATCCAGTTAAACAAAAGTGTCGCCCAAAAGAAGAAAGTGTTGCGGTGAATATTGACCAGTAGGAAGCTGCATAAGCGAGTGAAAACGCATCAATTGGATCCCAGACTCTTGAGATAGTATAAGCCAGTCAAAAGGCTTTGTTTACGGCAAGGCGAGCGGATCTGCGGATTTGATAGGTTGGCGTTGCGTTGTTCTGCGTTGCATACATTTACGAGCCTGACCGCCTCACTTTTTGTTCTAGCAAATAACAGGTATCTAGAAATAGCTCTCAGAGCTGCCGCCAATAGAACCCCCTGTTCCTCCCAGCTTTCGTCAAGCTTCTATCACTTTTTTTTTCCTGCTTCTTAGCTACATACTTGTAGGTGATGCTGCATGTTTGGGCCTATTTGGGCGTGGAGGCATGCACGGAGACCGGGCAGATATGCCAGTTGTAAGCATGCGCTTCCCGTTTGGGGATGCAGGGCCGGGCATGGGCGTTTACGTGGCATGGCTTGAGTCGGTGGTGAGAAGCTGCAGGTACCTTTTTGGGGTCTTTGCCTGTTGGTTCGCGTGGTCTGCTGTTTCTGTGTAGTGCTGTGTGCCTTTTGGACTGGGTATTTCGGAAGTGAAGCGAGGAGGGTCTTGATGTTATGCTGTTGTGGAGAAGAGGCGAGGTTATGTTACGGGTATATAAGAGTGAGTTGGTCGCTGCTTTGTTTTCGACTTTATCAACATTCAATCTTTTAGAGAAGAGGAGGAGGAGAGTTACGGAGCTGGTGATCCAGGCTCTGGGGTGAGAGTCTGCCAGCTGGTTCTGGCATTAACTCGTTTCATTCATTCTTTAAGCAACCTACTTGCACAATGTTTCATTTGTTTCCATAAGGACTGAGTCCTGACATTTATTCCTTTGAAAGGATTTTATACTCTTATCATTTGCTCCATAAGACGATTGAACCCTTCTACTCTCGCCAATATGAAAACCCTACTCTACGCTATACCTCAAACATGAATAACACCTGATGCGATAGCGAGTACCACAGCGTCGGAGTCATCAATTGCACGACTCCGTACCGTTCTTAACTAAATACGTTTTTTTCTGGCCGGAAACCCTCTGTACGCCAGCCCCCACTTTTCGGCTCCGATTCGACAAAGACCGTTCAGCACCGGATCGACCGATCACCCACGTTTTTGAACAAAATATTACGGCTCTTACTTTCTGGATCAGCGCTCGTCAACAAGAAGACTTGCGAGATTCAGGGAGCGGGCAAGAAGCCCAGCCTCAAGGGCAGTTTGCCAAAGTGAAGAGCCGGATTAGGAGCTCTAGGAAGTGTCCGCCAGGTCTCCCGTAGGCAGGAACACACAGAGTTCTTCAATGAAGAGGAAGGAAAAAGAAGAAGAGAGAGGAAGCCGGAAATTGTTTCTATAATTAAAAAAAAATTGGAATTGGCAGCAATGGTTGTGCTTTTGTTTCTTGGATTGCATGTAGCTTATGCTAGCTAGGATGGCCGCCTACGTCAAGCGGTTAAGTGTCATTGACAGTTAAGCCACTCAATCCAACCTTGATACCAATTGCCGGCTTACATTCTCAATACGCAAAATCTCACGTAGAAAAGTTTGAAATACGCTCACTGATAAAGTGTAACCATAAACGGACTCGCAAACAATGCGGAAACATTGATATTAGAGTTTTGGTGGCCGGGGTAGCGCACGGTGACTTCTCGGATACTTGCGCCTCTTCAACAACAGAAAGTTACATGGGTCTTGCAAGTATAAAGAGACCGATAAAGAATGATCATCAAATGTTCCTCTTCGAATGGTATCTGCTTCTTGAATGGCACGATTTATTCGATATCTGAACAAACAATCTACGTTTCTGAAACTTACAATGGCTGCCACAGACGACATTGAAACCATGGCAAAGTCCATGTCTGCGCACTTCAAAACGCTGCCGCAGCAGACACCCACGTTCGAAAAAGACTTCATAGACGTCTCGCGAGGAGTCATGAGACTGATTGCCGAGCCGCTGGTCAATGACATTGGCCTCAAGGGCAAAGTCACCGAGCCTGTGAAGCTGCTGGACAGTGCGTGTGGAGCTGGCGTGGTGACGCAGGAGGTGCAAGCTGCGCTGCCTGATGAGATTCTTCGGTTGAGCTCGTTTACCTGCTCGGACAGCTCTCCGGCCATGGTGGATGTGGTGAAGAAGAGGATTGTGAATGAGAAGTGGGTGAATGCAGAGGCCAAGGTGCTGGATGCCATGGTGAGTAATATGCGTGTTTGTCTTGATATATGGTTTATGCGGCTAATCTTATATATGCTTCGTAGGACACTGGCCTTCCGGAGAGCTCATTCACCCATGTGGCGATTGCTCTGGGACTTCACATCATCCCAGACCCAGATGCCGCTGTGAGAGGTAAGACTGATGAAGCACTGTGGCTATTCAATCAGCTTCAACCTTAGTATATGCACTCACTTACATTATTCCCCTAGACTGCATGAGACTGCTCAAGCCAGGCGGCAGATTCGGCGCTTCCACATGGCCCAAGAGCAACAGCACCATGTTTTGGATCCCAGACATGCGCGAGGCAATAGGATCCCTCCCCTTCGATGCGCCCATCCCAGATCCAATGCCCATGCAAATGCACAAGTCCGGCCACTGGGACGACGCAGCTTGGATCGAGGGGCATCTGAAAGAGCTGGGGCTTACCAACGTGACCGTCAAGGAGAACCGGGGCACGTACAGGGTTGAGAACGCAGCAGACTTTATAAAGTGCTTTGGAATGATGCTGCCGTGGGTGATGAACACTTTTTGGAGCGAGGAGGTGAAAGAGGCGCATTCGGTGGGGGATGTGAGGGAGATGATCAGGCAGCATCTGGAGAAGAAGTACAACGGCGAGGGATGGGATATTGAGTGGCTGGTGATTACCATGTCTGGAACAGTGGATAAATGAATGGCTGGCAGTGTTGAGTCTTTATTGTAGGTACAATTATACAAGTGTGACAATTGAAAAGGCGTAGATGCCATAACAAGAGTTGTCCATGTCAATTTGATGCACAACATGAAGTGTTAAATCACCGCTGTAGTTGGTTGAACCAAGTCCACATGCACTGTAGTCGCCCAGCCACAGCCTCCCACGCTTGTGGCGCAGGGCTGTGAAATTAGCTCCCTTGCCCCCTGCGCGCATCTTTGGCATGTCCCTCCAATATGGGACCAGATCTCGAGCTCATGACACGCCGCGGACAAGAAAAGGGATCTGCTTGACCATTGCCGCAGCGAAAACCAGCAGATGGATCGCCACATATCCTGAAATTGAACCTGGCGGTAGCGACGCAGACGAAGAAGAAACAGAAGAAGCAGCAGCGCCGAGCAGCAGCCAACATCTCCAATCTCCAATCTCCAATCTCCAATCTCCAACCACGATAAGCTTCCATCACCACATCGCCATCAATGCTGTTTGCCGTCGTCGCAGCGCTGGGCGGCCTGGCGTCGTTTGCAGCCGCCAACGTGCCTCTGCCGTCGTACCACTACGGCGCGCCCATCCACGTGGAATGCATGAACCGAAGCTCGTGAGTTGTAGAAGAAGAAGCTGAAGCTGAAGAAGAAGCCAGGTGCTAACCTAAAGACCAGTGACACCGGCGAGCACATCGAACTGGACAACCATCAGCTGCAATGGATCCCCTTCCCGACCTGCAACGAAACCGGCGAGCCGCTGCAGTTCCACTACGGCGTCGAGGGCGAGGTCAACTGCACCATCCCCCTCATCACCGACCCCTTCTTCCACCTGCTCGAGTTCTACATCCACAACGATGCGCCGCTCTCATGCCGCCTGCCCGCGCGCCCGGCGCCGCACGTCGAGGTCATTGGCGAGAAGCTGCCCGACCAGGAGTACATCCCGCTCATCTTCGCCCTGGCCGGCACGCTGCAGCTGAGCCACATGCACATCAGCACGCACATGAACGTGCTGCTGCACAGCATGCCCAAGCACCACATGCACAACCACGACAGCGGCGTGCTCGACTCGGCCGTCTCCTACAGCACCAGCCCGCTGAGCCACATGACGGGGTCCTTCACCAAGAAGCTCGTCATTGGCGACCCCTTGCCGTTTAGCTTCTCCGTGCGCTGGTTCCCGACCCCGATGCTGCCCAAGACGGAGGGGCGGGTGGAGTGGCAGGGCCTAGGCGGGCATATCTATGCGAGCACCGTGTTTTACAGCCTCGTGTCGTTTATTGCTGGCCTTTTGGTGGCCGGTATGTATACTCTGGGAGTGATTCTGCCGCGCAGACTCAAGGGGAGGTCTATGGGCGGAGCTACGCCGCTGGGATACGGGGTGGGTAATGGATGGGGATACTCGAAAAGAAAGGATTAGGTGGTTGCTTTGCTTGGGACGGTGGATAAATGCAAATGGATGCATTTAAACTGTTTTGTATGATGGGGCTTGGAGTTTGGGTGGCGATCATGTATTAAAAAGGGGGCATCTATCTATGCTGAGCTCCTGGGCGGTTGGTTCTATACATTGTAATATTCTTATACTACGACAATGCAATTCTTTATTCAAACTCGGACGAGACAAGATCCAAAATGATGTATTTAGCTTCTTCTTTTCAAGACCACTTTTACTGAGTCTTTGCCTTTGCACCAGGCTCTCGAACCCGAGGCAAGAGCCGCAGATACATGTCCACAGCCAACAGCGCAGCTACACCCGTCAGCAAATGTGAAGCATATTCCAAGCAGAAGAAGAATTAAGACATGCAAAACTTACGGATAACAGCAAATGGTAGATATGTCCCATACAGCAGCGACGCCTTCTTATCCTCGCTCACCATATCGACGCCCATATGGAGCAACTCAAAACAGCACGCCGCAGCCCCCATAAAAGTGACCGATCCAAATGCCAGTCCAGCCAGCTCAGCAGGTCCCGACGTGCCTCTTTTAGAGGCCAGTTGAGAGACGAGATACGCTGCCAGCGGGAGTTGGACGAGGCCCTCGATGTACAGGAAGATTTGGAACCAGGGCTGGTGAGAGTCGTGGGCGAAGAAGGGATCGCCGGTGGAAGAGACGTAGAATTTGCGAAGAGAGAGGAGGAAGTGCAGGGGAGCAGAGGGAGATTGATAGAGGGATTTGGGGTAGAAGGCGACGAGGTCGAGAGCTGAGCATTGAATTGTGAGCGACTGATATATGTTCAGTAGGCAGGGAGAATGAGATTCTTACCGAGCATGCCAAAGAGCTGAGTCCCAATGATGAAGAGGTACAGCCAATCACGCAAGGCTTTTTGCTGCGCCATTGTGGAAGGTGAACACAGTAGTTTTTGTATTCTGAATAATTAAAAAGGCGTTGATATGCTGAATCTTATGATTCGTGAATTTTTTGCGTGGCGGCGATGTGGTGAGAATGTTGAGCTGGCGTTGAAAACGTGGGGAGAGCTTTTGGAGCTATCCCTGTTAGCGGATTGGCCAGCCAGAGAAACGCCAACGGGATGAGTTTTTGGCCAGCGACTGCATCGAACTATACAAATGTCCATTCATGAACATGGTATGGCGAAAGATATGGATATTTACATCAGAATCAATTGAAAACATGTTAATTGATTTTTTTCCAGGTGATATGGATGGTCAGATGTATGGTGCCTGCTTGAAATTATAAAAGGCATCCAATTAAAAGGCGTGATCGTTCATCAAGGAATATGTAACAGTAACAACAACCGATTCAAAGCATGAGCGTCAAATTCTTACCAATGCCTTAATCGTTATACATCTTTAGTCCACAATTTTCAGATATATTCAACCCAAACTTCTCACATTCAAGACAGCCAAAAGCATCCCAATTCCAGGGTAACTCCCCCATCCCCAAACCCCAAAACCATCCCAACGCGGCTCCTCATCTCCGGCGTACAACCTCACCATCGCCCCAAATAAAACACTCATTTAACATCTCGCCACCAAATACGATCCCTCGTCCGACTCCAGAAGAAAAAAAAAAAAGCAAGATCCCTCCTCCCTAGAAACACAAAAAGCAAAAAAAAGCCGAAAAATGACATGTCGGGTTCATCGGTCTTTAATATGTAGACCCTTCCCCCCCAGACTTTCTCAAAGTGACATTTCTACCCGTGCCGCGGCTCTGGGTCCCGATATTCCGCGGAAAAAAGTGATCGACACAAACAAAAGGAAGAAGATGAGGGAGCAAACTACATCACACGAAAAAAGAGTCGAGGCCAATCTTGATTTCCCCAGAAACATTCTAATGTGTGTCCGTCCGTGCTCTCTTTCTTGGGTTCACGCCTTCATTAAAATGACGCCCTGGCTCTTCCAACACAAATGTGACAAGTCAGCCGAGCTACATTCTCAGGCAACTTGTTTGGACGAAACAGCTTGAGATTCCTCGAAGCTCACTAGCATCGCCAAGAAACAAGATTAGGCGGAACTCTAAAAAACTCTAGTTCCAACGACGCTAAACGATGCCCCTGTCTTGTCAAGGGATGAACATCAAGAAGAAGACTAGAAGCTACCAGCCGAGCTGAACAGCGGTGCTACAAGCACCAAGTACTACTTCCTATATACCGTCCATATCACCTCTCACCTCTATACCTTGATACCAAGGGGGGTGAAGGGAGCAATATCCGCGTCAAGCAAAGTGTTCAAGGCAATGTGACACTGCACTATGCAATCGAAACATCTTAGATGAGGCAACACCGGTCTGATCTTGCCTGAGAACCCCTAGTCTTAGCGTTGTCATGCCGTCCCGGCCGTCGTTCCGGTAGGCCCTAGGCTTCTTTTCTCTTCTTTTTCTCTTATGGTCTCCTACAATACCAGAAAGTGCGGATATCGAAGAGTGGTTAGTCGATACGACGATGAGAGGATATAAGCCCAATCATCTCAGAAAGAAAAACACATCTATGATAGTGGAAAATGATTGGCTACGTCAGTAGGTTCTCTCACTTAGGCGGCGGCCTCTCTATTATACTTCACCTAGACATGTAACGTGTATCACCTACCTGGATTAACATGTATTGATGTACGCGCTAGTACGCAGCCAAAAGAATGCGGCTCGCCTCCCCGGAACCGCCCGTCGTCCATGGCGCTGTCTCAATCAGATACAGTAGAAGAGTCAAAACAGAAAACTCCGACTGTTGTTGATCCTGCAGAAGCCGCGGACGGCCTTTCTTCTCTTCCGGTGGAAATGTTTTCTCACCTGAAGCTCACCTGAAGAATGAAGGGAGAGGCGGAGGGAATAAAAAGGAGAAAAGCAAGAAAAATCTCGCTTCTGCTACTTTACTACTAGTTGACCGTAGGCAAATTATGCCAATAAAGCCAATAGCTTTTAGTGCTAGCCCCCCATCTAATCTTTATGTCTCGTTCTTTATTATGATTGTTATCATGGGTCATAGCTATCTTTTGAAAAAATAGGGTGCATCGTCGAATAATTTGCGCGCGATTAAAGGGCTGCTGCTGTCATAAGCGATCCCCATACCCGGTGGGTGGGATCATCTCGGCCGCGTGGTTCGAGTGGACACAGGTCATGGCAGGCCAAGTACATAGATACAAAAAGGAAAATGCTCCCAAGTTCCTGGTAGTGGTTGTGTTACGGAGCACCACTCTGAGATTTGCCTCCGTACACTGTCCTCCGGGTGGGTGGTAACACTGGCCCCCAATATACGCAAGGTTAATTTCGAGTGTCTCAAAGAGTGGTGTGGGAATGTGACATGTCTGGGGCGCATATGCTTCGCCGATCTGTCTCGGGGATAAAGCATTTATGGTGCGTGAATGAGATGGGAGGGAGGGGAAGAAGGGGAACCTTCTGCCCACCAGAATCTGCTGAACCGAAGTGGACCATAGTGGCAAGGGAAGAAAGGGGAAGAGAGAGACACAAAAAACAGCAGAGAGGGGCAGCATCTGCGCTGAGCTCACAGCCGGGAGCTGGTGTCTGAGGCCGAGTGAGTCTCAGATGGATATGATGGTGGAATGCAGCAAAATGTGACTGTGTCTCACTCTAGGACGCTCTTTCGGGAAAGACTTTGCTTCAATCTGTCTCTTCATCCCAGATCGGATGCGACCTGCGGCGACAGGTTTAATAAATCAGTAAATATAGAACCAGCCATTAGCCTGTTCAGCCTGGATCGATACAGATGCGGCGATCTTATGCATCTACTTTAACGTGACTGAGACACAAACGGGGTGTCGCACCGTCATGTGATCGGCAGAGCTCGATGTCCCGTCCAATATAACAAGTCGATTCAATGATTGTTATACCGGCTCGGGCCCAGCATGGCCCCGAGAGTTGAGATGGATGGTGGCACAATCTCAATCAAGCCCAATCTGCGCACCAAGGGGCAAGCCCCTCAGCTTTCTCCCCTCATTCTCGCTCCTATATCGCCGTTCAAGGAGTGCCTAACGCCTTTAGCTTCCATGTGCCGCCACATGTAATGCGTAGCTAGGAACAGTAGTGCGGCGTGTAATTCAGGACTTGAGCAAAACAATTTAATGTCCGATTTGCCGCTGCTGGCTATACAAATTGGCATGTTAAAGCCGCCGCCGCAGTGACTAGCTACCCACACTTACACGTTTTTAATGGTCAGTGCTCACGTGTGTTCAAGTTTCATTCGTTTTGTTGGTATCATCATAGGTATACGTGAAATCGTCGTTTGTAGTGTAGATCGGCCTGGATATGGCTGTACTCGAAAAGCAGGACTGAAACATTTTAGCACTCATGTACAAAACAGCGACTATTATTTGCTGGTATACGAGAGGTCTTACTTTCTGTGGGATACTTGATACACAATACTAAAGACCGAAAACCGAAAACGTCCGTCGTTGAATCGCCTTTGCATCAGCATGTCTTGGTAGTCGGAGTGTTTCTTCCTACATGGAACTATACTACGTGTGCTTTTATACAATCGCGTAATAGCAGCGTCAAATGAGCCGAAAGAGAAAAAAAGTGATACGTTCACATCAAGAGAGCATTGCGATCCCACAGCCACCATTAGGGCAGGTGTTATGAGTGTAAAGACCAGATGATGATAGCATGTTACTTCAAGTGGATATGTGACTCTGCCTGTGATGCCGAAAGATCATTCCTGAAAGATAACAATCCATTAAACGTGAATGAGCTCTTCTCGCAAAGCGATATTTCTGAGATAACGAACGAAAGGGGTCAATTTGCTATGCACCCGGCGTGTACGGCATGGATCATGATAATTCTTTTCTCCTCCTCAAGGCCGATGTGGTATTAAAGGCCTCATTTACTGAATGAGGCAAAAAGACACCACTCTTTCATTTCTTCTTGAGGAATCCGTTGACACCCCTAACCTTTTCTTCGGTGCCCATTGTGATGTAGTAGAGGGTCCTCTCGTATTCGTCATCACGCCCAAGGCTGTCGGCTATCGATGGCAAGAGAAAAGACAAGTTTTGCGTCAGTGATTACGAAAATGGTGATGGTGACAAAAGTTCAAAGGAGGGATCAAGGTGTTCTTACCACGGCAGATGGCATCTTTGGCAAGCTGCATAGCTTCGGTCGCATTGGCGGCTAGATCGGCGGCCACCTTGACAGTATTTTCAAGCACCGTGCCGTCTTCGAAGAGTTCACAAACGAGGCCATGTGAAAGTCCTTCCTCGGCAGAGATAGGTTTGCCCAAGAGAATTGTACGCATTGCCTGAACAGGTGGTTAGGGTTAACAAAAGTATTCCAGATATGTTTGTCCAATGAGACCTTGGGCCAGTAGCAATGGCTCCCGCATCCACACCTGTCTTCGGAAAGTAGCAAAAGTACCGCGAGTGCTGCAATGGAACAACAGCCACACCAGAGTGCAAAATGGAACCAAAACAAAACACAAATACCAAGATAAGAACAAAACTTCGGAAATTTTCTAGAAGCTGTTGTTGAAAGCGTACCTTGAATTTTCCGAGCGCAGCTGTGAGGCGCTGAGTGCCTCCGGCGCCGGGAATCAGGCCTCGTTTGACTTCTGGCAGCGCAAAGTAGGTTCGAGTTTGAGATGCAAATATCATATCGCACTGTGATTGCAAATTTGTCAGCGCACGCTATTCATAGTCTTCAAAATTGGTTGGGCTATGCATATCTGTATGTTTATCGGGCGATACGAAGAGGCGAAGGAATGCCGGCCGAAAATGCCCAGTTAGGAAGGACGAGAGAACATTCAAAGATGCAGATTTTCACGTGAAAATCAGGAGCACTCACCATAAGGGCAACCTCGAATCCACCCCCAAGCTGTAAAACGGCAACCCCACGTCAATATATCAAGCATGCAGAGTGCCAGGGTGTCATGCGTACTGCAGGTCCTTCGACAGCTGCCAGAAGAGGCTTCCGAACTGCCGCCATGCCGTTGCAAAGGTTCTCAAGATATCGACATGATCTAGCGCCAGCCGCGTCGAGCGCTGCGATATCCTGCAGATCGGCTCCAGCTGTTATGCAGGGCCGGGGTCCCGGTCATGATTAGTTGGGGGTTCATCTCCAGCAGGTCTTGGAAACACGTGAAATGGGAACAAGTGGGTGGAAGGCAAGAGACGACTCGTATAAAAGTCAGAACTTCGTGTAAGTCAGCGCCCAAACTTACCTGAAAAAAAGCCTCCAGTGCCAGTAAGCACAATGACTTTGACTGCCGGATCTTTAGAAGCCGTGGACAGCGCATCAAGAAATTCATTCAAGAGCTCTGTAGATAGGGCATTCCGCTTCTGAGGACGATTGAAAGCAATGACTCTAACACCCTCCACAAGAGAGGAAGTGTGTATGAGCTTTCCAAGGGAAGATTCAGATGCGGACATGGTGACGAGATCGCCGATCAATCCGCTATAGCCAAGAACCTTGCACGTTGACACGTATATGGGATGCGACTTGGGTAGCTGGCGAAACTGTTGGAGGGAAAAGGCGATTGGAAGGAATATGATAGCAGATTGGGGTACGGTTATTGGGCTGCAGAGGCCAGGTTGGCGGGGACGTCCTATATAGGGCCATGCGAAACGAATGGCACGGTAGCATTCCGACTATATCACGCGCGAACTCCACTGATAGGTCGGCAGCAGCTCTAGCTCGAGCTCCCAAGCTCTGCTCATAGCCCGTTTCGCGCTCGGTCTGCTTTATTCCGGTGGGATAACGGACGCGGTAAACAACGCCTTGCCAATCGGGAGCTGTCCAAGAATGACAGGTCGGACTGATGGAGGGTGGTTGGACAGTTGAGGCGTCCAGTGACGCCATGGACGGGCTGCAGGCGAGGATATCGTGATCGATTGCACTATGCAGGCGCAATCCCAGCCGCGCTGGCGTGAGATGGCGAGCCTCTGGCGTACTCTGCTCGTACTCTGCTCGTCCTCCACAATGCCCATAACATGTCACATTCAGCATCCGGCAAAGGGCGGCCACGCTCGCCAGGACCTGGTGATTAATTTCCTCTGTGTTATCGTCCTACTCACGCTCCCCCTGTAGGCACGGACGAGGTGTCAAATGCACCCCAAACGGAGAGAAAAAGACTAGGATCAGCGTAGCGGGCATAGTATTTGGGTGTGTGCGAGTGCGCGAGTGTATTGCGAATCAAGTGCCGAGCTTAGCAGCGGGAGAAGTCGTTGTGGCGTTGGAGTAAAAGAGGCAAGTTTGCTTCACGCGATGTAGATAAGGTAGGTAGGCGAGGTAGCAGTCTACTATTTTCCAGCACGGACGGAGTATGCCAGGTACATGGAAATAGGGCCTGGTGCCTGCCGCGTTACTTCATGTTTCCTTCCTCGCTTAAGGCCTAGGCGTTCCTTCTAGTGCCCAGGACAGCACAGTTGAAATCAGTCAGAGACAAGGTGGCAGGTGCGTTGAAAAGAAGGTTTGCAGGGGAAACAGGGCAATTGCAAGGCAAGAATACCTACTAGTAGGTTCAGGCACAAGCAGGTACCTGGATAATAGCAGTTGAGTCAATAGCGTCAAGTGCGTAACATAGGTAGGCAGTCGCGGATAGGCTGTTGCTCCCACCGCACGGGTCCCGTAAGATGCAACGGAAATTGCCCAATTATTGCCTGTTTGGGCTGCACTTTGCTCACGGAATCGTAATTGAGCCTATATTGATCGGATAACATAATGATAGCATAATATATTAATGGGGTAACGTCCAATATATCTCTATATTAATGGTAAGAAACAAGATTAAAAGCTAAGACTAACACAAAGTTCCCTTGAGCACCCTCGCATTTCCGTTTCCAGCACCATCGACGATATCAATTCTGCCGCATCGCGCTCTGCTTTCGCCATCATCATCGCCAGCAGCCTCATCCTCGCCGTGGCCGCCTCGTGCACCACCTACCACTTTCATCTGCATCGGCCGCCATGGGTTACCGGGGTAGTGGATCTGCCATCCCAGCGCCCGGCTCTGAATGCTGCACCGCCGAAGTACTTCTCCTCACAGTCCGCCTCGCACACGCTGAGGCCGGGGCGTCAGCGTACGAATGTGGGGCGGTACCTTTTCCCGTGGCACCCTCAGGTGTACAAGTATACCTTGCTGGAGTATTTTGTTCGACCCCTTCCCAATGGCATGGGACGGCATGGCACGGGGATAGGCTCTAGCAGATGGGCCTGGACGGTGTCTCGGTTGACGCAGTCTGAATATGGGGTGCGTCCAAGGGCGGCTAACAGCTAGGACTAGCAGAAGGACTAACAGGCGTGTCTGTCTTGTCGACAGCGGCTGCATGGCAGCAGATCTGCACCATCCAAGTACCTACACACGATACGAGTCCCACCCGCCGACGACATCTCTCGACTGCTGCTTGTATTACCCAAGCGCCGAAACACCGCACGCTCACCCATTGACGGACAGATTGTTTTAGCCAAGCCCGGGTCCTCAGCCATCTTGACGTCTCCCAATTCGGCCATCAAAGTACTGCTCGGTTCCCTTTGGTCCGCTGTAACCAGCCGGCATTCCTTCGTTTATGGCTGTCTCTCCTCTGCTTGCCTTCAGCCCCCGTCCCTCTTTTTCCGCTGTCATTTTCTACGCATCTCATTTGCTGACCCGTCTCTCACTCTTTCTACCCGGTCCTCAGTCCCTCTCCACAGCTGGCATGGCCAATATCTAGTGGCATTGTGAACAGGTATCAGCTTGATCTGGTTCATATCCCTCTGCTCATCCCTCTATCCCTCACCATGTCATCTCCCCCCCCCCCCTTCAACATATAGGCTAGCCTTACACCGCTGCGGCTTACTACTCTGCATGCACTCTTCTTTTACGGGAATGTGACGGAAAAAACTGCTTGGCCCTGCATTGTCTCCTTTCTAAATAAAGTAGCGGATAATGCCTCTTTTCCTCTTTATCACATTTCTACACCTCGTGATGAAGATGGGAGGGGAGAAGGAACAGGAGAAACGGGGAAATAAACTATGTCAACGGGAGTAGCTTTAGTAGCGGCTCTGCGTCTAGTAATAAACGCAGTCGGATACTGTCCCAGTGGGCATCCTCTTCCAGCTGCATTAGTTTGCGGACATGGCAGGCCAATCCTCTTCAAGGTCATCTGTATAATCGCCATTCGCGCTTATACAAGCATACATATATTCTTACGATAGACACACCCTGGCATCCCACACGGCATCACCTGCGTCCTCAACCTCCTCCAAGCCCTGTCCGTCCCTGCTCTGCCTCCACTTCTTCTGTATCTCTCGATGTTGCAGTTTCTGCCCTTGACCCTGGATGGTCTCAGCCTCCACGCGTGTGAGCGCCGGTGTCTTTGTATTGGGCATCAGCGGCTCGATGGGTCTTCTACCGAGACCACTCACACACTTTCATATTCGCCCAAGAACGGCAAGGACCGTGCAATTAAGTCGCTCGTCTCTGCATTCAATACTTCTCATTCGTTATAGTCGATATGATATCCAGGGTTACGATGGATGGCTCGCTATCCACCACGGACCAGGCCCTTCCCATACTGGGCCCTGCGAGACCATTGCCGTTCGAAGAGGGGAAAAAGGGAACAAAGACCGATCCTCCTCTCACTTATATAAATGGTGGTGCACTCGGTCCCTTCCTCGGGTTGGACAAGCAGATATCCTCAACAGCACGCTCCAAGCCCAGCGCCTTGTTTTTTCTAACTTTCTTCTTACATCACTGCTCCTCTCTGTCCACCATCTATTTCTCCATCACTAGACGAATTCTCCTCTGCACTCTCAGTACAGGCTAGATTCACAACCACATACACAAACACATACACAAACCCATATACACACATCAGTTCACATCTACATAGAACTATCCGTGTCTGCTCAGCTGGAGTCATGGAGGCTTCAAGTCTTCGCGCAGACTATACTGCCATGCAGTATGGTCCCGAGATCGCATGCCCCTTTTCAACAGTTACTTCCGCATTCTACCACTTTGTTACGTCTTATCCTGAGAATATTGCCCTTCACGATCTGTCTGGTGCAACCACTCAGCAGACCACATACCGCCAACTCGCCATTCGGGCTCAGGCCCTTGCCACAAAGCTCCGAAGTCTTGGTGTTCGCCCCCACCAGAGGATTCCTCTCGTTGTTAAGAGGAGCTCTGAGATGGTGGTAGGCATCTGGGCTATTCTCTCATGTGGTGCCCAGTATGTTCCTCTCGATGGAGGTGTCGTTCCTGACTCGACCATCCGGCACGTTTTTGAACAAGCTGGTGGCGATGTTATCTGCTGTTTAACGTCTACCGTTGACCGGATTCGAGATCTCTGCCCTAGCGCCACTCCAGTCATTATTGATCAGCAAGAGCTTGACAGTATGCCGCATGGTGAGAAATGGGTGGATTTGGCCACTTCAGACAGCGGATGCTACATCATTTACACATCTGGTACGGCACTTCCCGCGGGGGATTCGCTAGAGCGCATCTCTATGCGCTCTTCTTCTCCCATCTGCTAGCAGCAGCTGAAAACTAACATTTTAAAAATTAGGTACAACTGGCAAGCCCAAAGGGGTTGACGTGACACATAAAAATGTTTCCAATCTTGTTTGTATGTCTCCCGGTAACTTGGGTATTCGACCAGGTAATCGGGTGGGACAAGTCCTCAACATTAGCTTTGACATGGGTATGTTGCTCCCTGGGGTCATTTTCATCTGCCCTCCAATTGCCACTGTGGGTCAACATTCATTTTGCTAACAATGGAGTGCAGCCGCCTGGGAGATCTTTGCATGCCTGTGCAATGGAGGTACCCTCGTCATTCGAGGTTCTAAATGGGAACCCGCTATTGAGCTGGTGAGTATCAAAGGGAGACTGGATCGCGATGAATTGATGAAAGTTTACGTGAAATTTGGACTAACACTGGGAAATCTCAACTTAGCTCGATGCTCTGATTTGCACACCAACAATCTTGTCCAAGTACCCTCCCACCAAGTACCCCAACATCAAAGTCGCCGCGACAGCTGGCGAGCCCACATCTCAAGAGTAAGTCGGCCCTCAAACAGCCATCCTTCGGCGCCATCTCATTCGCAATTCTTTATTCTAACACCGTATCTCAGTCTTGCTGATCTATGGGCCAAACATGCAATTTACTGGAACTGCTGCGGCCCTACGGAAACGACCATTGTCAACACCATGCAGAAGCACATTGTTGGGGATGGCTTGTCCATCGGTCGCCCTACCCCCAATAACAACGTCTACATCCTCGATGACAATGGGAATCCTGTGCCGGTAGGCGAACCTGGTACTATGTGGGCCGGCGGGTATGGTGTGTCTCGCGGCTACGTTGGCCTCGAGGCCAAGACAAAGGAGTCTTACATTCCAGATCCCTTTACCAATGACGGGTGAGTTTTCTCAAGGGAGTGCTCTTGGGGCTTC